ACATATATAGCAAGATAAATAGTCCTGTCAATGTAAATACAGTATTTCTGCTGTAATTGATTTACAGTAAGTTACTGGCAAACAGCTGCCTGTAGGTTATTGTAGATTCTACAGGAAATTTTCTGTAACAGTATATGGTTAAATTAAGAAAAATACTTTAAAATGATTACGTTTAAATGTGATCAGTGTTAAAGATGTTCGAAAATTAATAAAAAAAAAAAATATGTATCTTGAATTAAGTATAAATGTGGACGCATTTAATGCGGGTTGTGTTGTATTTTATTTAATTCTTTAAAACATATACCTCATTAAATCAAACCTTATGAATTATGTTTTTTTGTTACACTATTAAGAAATGTTATTATTATAATTATAATTATAATATAGTTATATAATTATAATTAAAACAATAAAATAGGTTACCAAATTTCTCAAGGTTTATGCTTAAAGCAAAAAAAGTCAATTTAAAATGTAATTTTGTGCGATTAAATCCAATTTCCCCCCACAGTGTAGAGAAGTAGGAATGTGATAAGCTTCAACTGATATGCACTGTTTTCAACGCGGCTCCGGACACAGTTTTAGGATGTTCTGCGCTTCACGAAAGCACTTGAAAACCTGGAATTACATTCCACACATACCTCGAAAACAACTGAATTGGCACAGTAATCAGCCTGCGATCAGAATGACAGAGCTGCAGAAGACGATTTCACAATTAAATGAATACAAAAAGAGGCAAAACGCTGCGTGGCGTCAGACCTTTCCCTCCACACTGTGAGATTCAATCACTGGAAATGTGTTCTGACGATCATTATCACTGTATGAAACGCATTAATGAAAAGCTCAAAATGACAGAGGTCTGAATAAAACAGCTTGCTGCAACAAACACAAAAATCTTGACATACACTACAGGTCAGAAGTTTGGGATACAGAAGATTTTTAGATTATTTAATAAAGGATACAGTAAAACTGTGAAATATTATTGCAATTTAGTCTGCTTTCAAATTAAATGTACATTAAAATTGTGTTTATTAGTGTCTTCAGTGTCGCATTATTATTCTAATATATTGATTTGCTTTTTAACATATGATCACTTATAATTAGAATTCAGTCATTAATAATTATTCTTTTAATTATTTGTATTTTTCCCTGCTTCATTGTTTTTAGCGAAACTAACTGGTATAATATATATAATATAATATACACACACACACACACACACACACACATATATATATATATATATATATATATATATATATATATATATATATATATATATATATATATATATATATATATATTTACATTATAAATGTATTTCCTACTTTCACTAATGGAAAATTTAATATGTCCTTGATGAATAAAAGTAAATGAGAAATTCCATGCAAACTTTCACCCAAAAATAGAAATCGTTTCTAAGTTTTTAGTGTAAGCAAGTATTTTAAAGTACTTTAGAAATTCTCAAAAATGTCTTTAAAGTACAAAACATGTACAGATTGATATTTTCTGGTTCCTTAACTCTGTGGTCAGTTGTTCTCAAAAATATAAACAGATGTTTCAATTTAATGTTAACAAACTTTCACTGTGAATTTATGTTTGGAGTTTTTACTGCAAATGTCACATCCATAACACTGGAATTGCTCAAATACTTTAAGTATATTTAACAAATGAGATATTTACACAAAAAAATTAAGCAGCCCAACAGTTTTTAACACTAATAATAATTTTTCTGATTATCTGAAGAATCATGTGATACTGGAGTAATGATGCTGGAAATTCAGCGTTGAATTAGGAATAAATACAAATTAAGAAAACAGTTTTTTTAAAGTTGAATAATATTTAACAGTTTTTACTGCATTTCTTTTCAAACAAATTAGTCTAGATGAATAGAATATTCTTCTTTTAAAAATGTTAAAATCTTTATAATCCCAAACTTTTTAGTGGTAGTGCATGGTGCCATTTAAACGAATGCGTTTTTTGTGTTTAAAACCAAAACAGGGTCTTTAGTATTTTCAAAACCACCCAGTTTTTACAGGTCAAAGACGCCAGAGTAGTGTGGACTACCACACATTACAGCAACCAATCATATGCATTATAAAACAAAAATGCATTAGTGTAAATGGCACGTCATATCCTCGTATGCCAGATCAGTATTTGTGATCTTTATACATTTTCACCAGCAAAACATTTTCACGACATCAGAAAAAAAATTGTCACTGTTGAAAAAGCTCAGCTCTTAAGATGATTTTTTTTTTATGTAAAATGCATATTTCATACTATTCTTTATCCTGCCAGTAAGGCACTCTGCCCCATTCAACTGGGTCCCACCTATTCATGCTAGAGAGACCCTGATCATGCCCCCATTCTTTAAAAACTGCACACCTTTCCTTATTTTTCTTCACAACTTAACCTTAACCATGCCTTAACCAGGTGTGACATGACAAAACATCAAGCCATAAAGCAAAGTGACTAGAATATCGGTATGCCATAAACCGATACATTTACTTGAAATAGTGGGTACTGTGATTTACCATGATTCACTTGTTATAGTGGGTAACTGATTAATTTACAAACACTTTACAAATATTTACAAAAAAAAAAAATAGTAAAATATTGTCATTTTAAATGCTACATGTGAATTTAGGTATCCCTTTATACTTATTCATTGGTAAATTTTGCAATGTGCAATTTTAAAGTATCATAATAATAAAAAAATAAGCAAATTTAATTTGAATGTAAAACTAGGGGAAATTTGCATGCACAATTAAATTGCCGATTATTGGTATGCTATCAAAATGTCATGCATATCCTGATCAGAAATGAGCACTAAATAGAGCCTTTTTATTTCATTTATTTATTTCCAGATGTGTAACTAGCAGCAGGTAATCGTATCTTTTTCTATATTTAATTTATGGGTCCGATATCGGCCGATAATTGGTATTGTGCCAACAATATTACACATATCCCAGCAAGCATTTTTTGTTTTTAAAAGATGTCTAATGGATGTCTAATAGAGGTCTAAACATAGTTGTCTTGGCTGAAACAAGGTTAAATTTGGGATGTTAGTGAAAATCTAATAGACGTCTAGTCTAGTCCTCAAATAGACAGAAATGAATGACTACACATATGAAGATTTGGGCTATTCTTAAATGTCTATTTGATTTTCACTGACAGCCCAGGTTTAGCCTTGTTTTAGCCAAGCTGTTTACTGTATGTTTAGATGTGTATTAGATGTCTATTAAACACAAAATTGTTTGTTGGGATTCCAAACAGAAATATGTGTTAAAGTAAATAGTCAGTGTCAGTGTTTTTTTGTCTTAACTAGCAACAATTGTAACAAGCAGGATTTTTTTTTGGCAAATTTCTATGGAAACTTCTAGATCATTCAATATCATTTAATAACAGGCATAAGTAAATTTAGCAGATATTGAAATACATTTTAAATAGCTTAACCCATAATTATACCTTATTTAAAAAAAAAAAAAAAAAAAAAAATATATATATATATATATATATATATATATATATATATATATATATATATAAAATACATATTAGCGCTGTCAAATCTAACGCGTTAACGCTTGCTATTAATTTTAAATAATTAACGCGTAAAAAAAAAATGAACGCAGTTGCAGGTTTTTTTCACTTTCTGTTGTGGTGGACGTGTGTTCAACATGCAATAAATATGGATAAGACCTATGAAGCACTTTTTGAAGGCAAGTTTCAGTATAAAACAATTAGTCGCATCACCAGGCTCTCCAGAGTTTCATGCAATTTCGGGTGTTTCAATTTTAACTTTCGACTTCTGTTGTAAGTTGATACCGCATGGCGAACAGAATGAAAATCCTCCGCATTTCATGACTCGGTGTTCCTTTAAGGTAAGGTTCCTTTTAAGGCTACACGGTAGACTTTTAAAAAGAGTGTTATCTTAATCATATTAAAATCGGAGTATTGGTGTCTTACGTAAATGTACTCAGAAAGTCTCTGGTGAAGTCGCGAGCTGTCAAAGACAGGGCATTACTCTGCCTTTCAGCATGAGCCCTCCAAGTTTAGCGTGTTTCCTCATTAAACGCAACAAAAGCATATGCTGCGCGTTGTTGTGTCAGAATCCTTGTGAAATACAGTAATACTTTAGGACGCTTAGTTTAAGCAAATTTGATGAACGTGATGATGCGTGTTGAATCTGAGGGGAGTCGCTCCAGTATGGAAGGCCGTTGGGGCCAAAACGTCTGCAGCGCGTTGTGTGTGACTGTGTCAGGGATGGAGTGAGCGACGTATCTGAGTAGGGGCGAGAGGGGTGTGCAATGTATTTAACGACCGGTTTGCAAGAAATTATCATTCATTTGCGGGCATTTGGGAGTCTCTGTGCACTTGCGGGATACTCACAGTCTCAGCATCTGGATGAATGTAAAGGAGGATTAAGCAAAATTGTTTCTACTCTATAACTAATGTTCTCAACTCACAGCAATAAACTTTACAATGAGTGCAACAGTTTGTATTCTATAGTTTATTATTATAATTTGTCATTTTCCATATCTGCAATTCCTGTATTTTGGCATGTTTTTGCAGTCCACTTAGAATCCAACATGGAAATCAATGTTTTCCTTATTGGCATTGATTGTTTTGAAATTTAAATGTCATTAACATGCCTGTGTTTTAGTTTCTGTAATAAATATGGCTGTCAAGCTAGGATCTTGATGGTTTATTGTGGGTATGTTGTTTACATGAAGAAATCTGTGTTACAAGTTAAACAAAAATTCTATTAAACAATTATATTTTGAATTTAAATATTTTTTGTCTTGCGTTTGCATTAATTTTACATTTAAATAGCCAAAATTACAAGTTTCAGTATTTTAATTTTTTTTTAAAAAGGTGCGATTAATTAGTTAATTTTTTTTAATCGATTGACAGCACTAATATATATATATATATATATATATATATATATATATATATATATATATATATATATATATATATATATATATATAGCCCTCCTATAGTTATATTTTATTTGGTCAAAATGCAAATATTAAGATAACACATTCTGAAAAACAAACAACAACTAAATAATCACACAACTATAACAAGCAGCTAGAAAATTCCTAAATTTTTAAAAGAAATTTGAAAGTCATCCAATAACAATTTCAGCCAATAATCCAACACAATCTAATGGCAATTCATAACTTTTAGTTTTAGGCTAATTTGTATGAATTCATACAATCTTTGTGATTTTGTTTGGTGCCATGCCTCCTTTTTAAAATCATACATTTTTGTATGTCTAAACTTATACAAACTTGTATGAATTAGCCACTTAACTGACAAAACGTAAAATACGTACGTTTTCTCGTAAGATCAGACTAGATAATCGGTAGGTACTAAAATATCAAGCAAATCCTGACCAGGAATGTGTGTTAAGAAAGTAAATAGAATAATATTATGTAGATTTTATGTTTTAACGACCCACACTACTTTGAGTGTGACCCTGCCGACAGTTACAAAACACATCAAATACGTTTTCGCATTTTGAGCTAACAGGCTAATTATTAGTCATGTCGCACTTGGTTAAGACAGGGTGAAAGACTGCATGTCTCCTGGTCTCAGACCAAACTGCCCTGCAAACATTTTCTCCTTTAATTAGCTCTGCTAATTATTTTCCATGAACTACGGAGCCATCAGAGACATGGGGATGAAGCTCATGAGGTGTAAGATGGCACCCCAAATCCACAGTGGTGGCAAACAGTACAGGGCCGATGAGGCCGAAAATGACACACCGAGGCTTTGAAAACATCCGCCGTTCATCTTCACGTCAGTCTGCGATGAAACCAAACGCTTGCCCGGGTAAAGAATTCATCAAGACTTAACCATACTATTGTCTCGGGATCTAAAGGGATACATCCATGCGGCAGATTTGGCGACTGATATGCATTTACCTCCCATGAATGAACCTTGAATGGTTTGGCGTGACATTGTCTCCATCATGGCAGCCTCCTTTTTTATTTTTACTGCCAGTGTGATGTTCATTCCCCCATCAGACATATAAAGAAACTCAATACTGAAAAGTTCTCAACTCAGAAGTTTGTGTGTTTCCTCGGAAATCTCATTTTTCATGCTACACATATATTTGCGATATTTGACCCCTGGTATCGCAAGGGGCTTGGTGTGAACCTCTTGAAATTATACCAAAAAATAAACAACCTCTACATGATAAACAAACAACGAGTGCTCAGACGGAAGAGCGAGGCGTTGAAAGTTCGGCTCGTTCCCCGGTGAGAAGTGTCCGCTTTGGATCCAGAATTAAACAGCGAGAGGCCGAGCCACCCGTCTTTGGCTGCCGTTCATCTGGATCGTCCGGAAACATGAAAAACAAACTTGGCGACTGTATGAAAAGCAAGTTGGATGCGATAATCCATTTGAGGTTGATATGTCTCCATCTGTTCTCAATATTTTAGACTTTTAAGATCCGTCTCCTTCGTTTTTAGGCTGTTCAAAGCACAGCTCTTACAGGTGGACCTGCCACCCTTCGTTCTGCAGGCAAAGCCTCACAAAACTGACCACGAGGGGCACCGTGATTGGTCCAAACTGTCACAGAAATGCCACTGAAGGTCCAGGGTTCGAGGCTGGATGAGATGACGGGTGACGGCGAGGGGTGAGAGTCACTCTAATGGGGCGAAACTACTTCCGACAAGGCAGGGGCGGCTGGAGAGAGAGCACTCCGGGAGGTGGCACTGTCTACTAGGAAACACAACAAAAACCCTGTGAATCACCCATTAGACTGGACAGCAAGGTAACTTCGAATGGAAGTAACACAGTTCATGCAGTGTTGGGGAGTTTTTAAAAGCATTTACAGTAATAGGGGTATTTAATATAATGATAAAATTTAACTTATAAAGCAGGGTTAAGCGAGGTGCCAGTTAAGTTTTGGTAGATAAATATATCTGGCTGGAAATCACATTATAAAGCATAAACCATATATACAGCTCTGGTAAAAATGAACACACATCACTTTTGCTAGTTATGATCAGTTCTCTGGATATGTCATTAATAGATTGATAAAATGTTCAACTGTGTTCTAAATAGCTACACTTTATTTTAAATAAGGGAGAAATGCTATAAATACTGTAGTTCACAAGAGTTATATTCAGAAATTTATATTTGGTGGAATAATTAGTACTTATATGAAAAAAAAAACTCTAAATGACAACATTTCTATTTGAACTTTTATCTTTTTATTTGATATTTAAGATATGAAAATGAATATATTTTTAATAGATTTTTTTTGTAAAATAAATGCTCAAAATGATTTTAAAAAAATGTAAAAAGTGGTTTATAAAATTAAACACAAATAACCATTTTACCTGATAAAAGTCTTGTCGCCTATCCATTTTTGAGGAACAACAAATAATAATTTGACTTCTAGTTGATCATTTGTTGATCATAAGTGGCTAATATAAAAGGCAAAGGCCTCTAGATTATGCTTATTTTACCAAAATAAAATATGATCATGCCTTGATTTTTAATTATTTAATTAGGACAGTAAGGTCTGACTTTGCTGCGACAAAAGTCTTGTCATTTAACAGAAATAATGTACAGTATAGAATGTAAAGTCACGGTGCAGTGGAAAAAGAATTAAGATTGTGTATGACTCCATCCAAACATTTCTGCACTGACTTCCGCAATTACTTATTAATAAAGTCATCTGTATTGGCAAAAAAAGCGTTCCAGCAGGACTCCCAGAGTTCATCAAGATTCTTTGGATTCATCTTCAATGCCTCCTCCCACTTATCCCAGACATGCTCAATTATGTTCATGTCTGGTGACTGGGCTGGCCAATCCTGGAGCACCTTGACCTTCTTTGCATTCAGGAACTTTGATGTGGAGGCTGAAGTATAAGAATGAGGGCTATCCTGTGGAAGAATTTGCCCTCTCTTGTGGTTTGTAATGTAATGGGCAGCACAAATGTCTTGATACCTAAGGCTGTTGATGTTGCCATCCCTTCTGCAAATCTGTCGCATGCCCTCATACTGAATGTAACCCCAAACCATGATTTTCCCTTTATCAAACTTGACTGATTTCTATCAGAATCTCGGCTCCATGCAGCTTCAAATAGGTCTTCTGCAGTATTTTTGATGTTTGGGATGCAGTTCAACAGATAATTCATCGAAAAAATCTACCTCCTGCCACTTTTCCACATGATCAACTAGAAGTTATTATTTTTATGCTCTTACAACTGAGATCGACGAAAAGACTTTTTTCAGGTAATGTACAGTTATAGAAAACTAATAAGAACTCTGAAGTTATTTTCAAGCCTCTGTGATTATAATTGAACTACTTTAGAAATACTAGTCTTCCCCAACTTCCCCAACAATGTCAAGCAAACACATGCACACAATGACAAAAATTCACAGAAGTACACATTGTAACCAATCACAGTTGAAAAAGGCTCAAACACGCGACGCATGCAATGCAACCCGGACAGAAGCAGAGATATAAAAGAACTGTAAGCAGAAAGACGTGCAGGATGCCACGAACCGTGTCTTTAGAGTGTCCCATTATGAAGAAATAGGGTGAGGCTAGAGTGTCACTTTTCATGCACATGGAAAGGTTGGTAGGAACCATCCCTACAGGACAGGAAGTAAAAGACTGTACTATTAGATCATACAAGAGTTAGAAAAACAGAACAGCTGATAGAAGAGAGGAGTTAATAGAAGTTTCATTACTGAAGGCCCCGAAATACTAACAGCAAATTTAGTTATAGTTCTTCGATTAGGAGTGAAAGAGTCCCATCCTTTATTTTTACGCAGGTTTTGTCGAGCAGGTGGTGGAAAATTCACTTCTAATTAAAAAATCTCAAAGGTGTATGAAGTCAGATCTAAAGCAAGGCTGCTTCTGTGCCCAATTTTGACTCCCTGACATGTGCAGTGCACATGCCCTTTTTATTCTTGGATAGAAAGTGCCCTTCCAAAATGATCTGAAGTGCCCCCGCGACAAACCAAAAATACTGGCATCAGTATCGGTGAGTATTTGAAACCATAAACCAATCCGAATCTTTTAAATCTGACTTATGCTAGCTTTGCTTAACACTGGAAACCCAAAATCAGATCTGCTTCACTGCTTAGAATGCAAACACAGGAAGTTGTGCTTTGTTCCACAAAAAACCACTATTAGAACTGCATGGAAAATGAGAGTAACACACTATTTTATTATAAAAAAAATTTCTCTAAATTTTAAGTTTTAAAAAAGGTTATTTTTTTTATATTTTATTCTTATCAAATGTGTAATATTTCATAATTTTTGCATTCATTTTTATATGGTTATACTGTAAAACAATTATTTTTCAGTTTCAGTGTTTGATTTGAACTTTTTTCAATAAAGTACAGTAATGTGTGTATTTTACAAGAACATACTCACATATCAGTTCAGTACTCGGGTTTGATATCAATACCTTGAGCTCAGGTATATTGGAATAGGTAATGGGTTAGGAGGTATAGAACATCCCAAGTTGTAAACAATTATCATGCTGCTTGTGTGTATACATGACAAACACAATAACGCTGTGATTATGAGAGCGGTATTTCGTAAACATGTGGCAGTGATCAATTGGGGGGTCTCGCCACATCTCTTAGTCACAGGACAACTGTGCCAGTGCACTCACCACACACCAGTTATCGATGGAGTGGAGAGACGGAGATAAAGCCAATTCAGTGAATGGGGATAATTGGGAGGCCATAATGGGTAAGGCTCAATTGAGGGTATTCGGCCAGGACACCAAGGTTACACCCCTACTTTTTATGGGAAGTGCCATTGTATTTTTAATGGCCACAGAAAGTCAGGACCTTGGTTTAATGTCTCATCCGAAAGACGATGCTCATTGACATTATAGAGTCCTCTTCAATATACTGAGGCATTAGGACTTACACAGACCACAGGTTAAGCACCCCCTGCTGGCCTCACTAACAGCACTTCCTACAGCAACCCAGTTTTCCCAATGTGGTCTCCCATCCAGGTACTGACCAGGCTCAGACCTGCTTAGTGTCAGTTAGTAACCGGTCTTGGGCTGCACTGGAGACCACTACGGAGACTGGCTTTGACACTCTGAGTACTATCTTCTCAAAGAAGACGGAGTTCCTGAACACAGCCACCGATTGCGTAATTCCTACAGACCTTAGAGTAGCTGAAAGGTGTTTAGAAGCCAAAACAAACTCCCCCAAAAATTCTCTATGTTGAGTTGTTTCAATCTGCCAAAACAAACTCAATACAAGCTTTGTTTGGCTGGATTTTATTTGAAATTATGTGATTTTAGTTCTCTCCTTTAGTTTGAAGTATATCAGGGCTTTTAATTCTAAACTTCATCCCTTATACTAACCCTTTCTCCACACCTAACCCCAAACCTACCAGTATCAGTAGTGTAAAATAATCTGGCAGGAGTCAGAATTGGGTACAGAACTGCCCTATAAGGGTAATTCTTCAACTACGGACACTTTTATGTCCTTTGATCATATATCCAAAAATATATATCATTTTATACAAAATCCTTATTCTATTATATATTTTTTCATATTATTTAACCTCCTTTTAGGTGTCCAAAATATTTTAAAATATTATTTATCTGGTATCTATTCATTTATCTTAATTAAGCACTAGTGAAATAATTTAAATATTTATAATGTAAGACTATAGGCCTTTTTTACACTTCCTGGTTCCGGTAACCGAAACAGCTTATCACTACATCCGGTTTCAATGCGACGGAGTACGAAAGAATGGCAGGCTCATCTCATTGCTGTAATTGCAGCGTTCCCGGCTGCTCCAACTCAAAAAACGACACCTTTACTTTAATTACCACGATTTCCCGAAAGACGAAGGACAGAGAAAATCATGGGTGAAGTTATTAGAGGGGTTGACTGTTGTTTCAAGTTAAATGCGGGAGTACGTTTGTATGCTGTATGCACTTCAAAGCGGAGATTATTATGTTTTTTCAAAGACTGGTGGTCTTAGTTTTATTTTGACAAGTAATTATAATATAGACAAAACTCCAGTTAAGCTATCTGCCTTCCACAAACAAGTGCTCATCATGGTAGACGGTTTTACACTTATTTTGGCTTAGTACATGGTCAGCTTATGGGGTGAGGTGCAAAAATGTATTAATAACAAATATTTTGTGTTCAAAACCTTTCATCATTATGGAAAAATGTACACTTGGGCTTTACTTGATTATCCTAATCTAAAAGAAAATTGTTTTATTTATTTAATTTGCTCATGCTGTTAACAAAATTGTACATTCATAAATGTAAATTTACTAATAAGAATCCAAATTTTAATGTATTGATGACTGAAATATGCTTGCATAATACCAGGATCAACTCTCTAAACAAGAGAGCCCGACACACTTCAAAAATGTGTGAACTCTACAATGTTTTTTATTATTACATATGTTATATTACATTTGGTATATTTGTATTTTATTTATAATTACCCCCTGGCATGTATATTTTTGTATTGTAAAATGTTATTTGCTGTTTTTTAAATAAATATATATATATATTTTTTCCATGAGTAGGAGCTAACGCATGTTTCCAGACTTGAGAAAACCTTATGAGCATTAAACAACCTGTAATGTACGGGGCTCCCGCATTGCCTGATAGCAACTTGCCTGTACAGCTACCTCGTCAATCACTATATCTGACTCTGAATAAAAAGGTACTGACATAAAACTAATCCTGCTGGATGGTACTGACATAAAACTAATCCTGCTGGATGTTAAATAGCCTAGTTAATCTTGCTTACTAATGGCTTGAATGAGCAGATCTTATGCTGTTGGCTGTGCACCTTACTGGAACCTAACGTTGCAAACGCTTTGTGTAAGACACGTTTTCTGCACAAATTCTGTATCATCTTTTATAAACTGTTTTATTTAGGCTACGTCAGTTTTACACATTTACCGAACGATGTCTTCATGTACAAATTATGGCAAAGTTGACAGTGAGAAAGTCATCTGCAGTCCTGAGGCTGTCATGTTTCTGCGACTCCCAGCGAAACCGGAAATAGCGATACATTGCTGCGAAGGGCGCTTCTGTTGTTCAATTCCGCTGTAAAAAAGGTCTATTATCAAGATTATTTTTTATAAAAAATATAGCTGTCGCACAGTATCAGTGTTATTTCCACAACAACACTGTAATGTCACTTTAAAAACTTTGTGTAAGATTATTTAGTTGGTTTCTATGAAAATGAATAGTGAATGTTCAAGAGGAAGGACATTTTTATTTCTATCAACAACACAAAGTAAATGTTGCTTGATAAGGAAATACATGAATTCTACATCATTTCCAAACCTGTTGTACCTTCAAAGACGTTTTTAAAAACCAAAATAAATTAAGGTAAATAGGAGTTTCTTTTATACATGAAAGGCTAGTATCAATTCAAAGCTAATCAGTGAAGCTATTTTTCCTTTTTTCAAAATAAACTGTTGAAATGTCATTTCCACCAGTCATTTCCATCACCACACACATTTAAAAAAATATATATTTAAAAGGTTCTCATCACACATTAAAAGTGTATTCACAATGTATAAGTTCATGCTCTTTTCAATATACAAATTCAGTTGATTTATTTTCTAATAAGCTCTTAAGCAAATTAATAATACATTTTAGAGTGTGACAGGTGTACAATTCAGCATACAACTTATTTATTTAATTGGCAAATGTATAATTATTATATGTATTGTGGTAAGATTGGTAAAACTAGATACAAAAATGATCTTAGACAATGTTTGACTGCCATAATTCATTTCATTTTGAAATAAGCTGTATATTGAGATGTGGTGGAATTGACATTTGTTCAGTTCACAATGGAAAAAATGTTTTTCTTCTTGTCTAAGTTTGTCCTCTTACAGATCTTAAAACTAGACAAATTGTTTAAACTTATGAGGCTGTGTTACGGTAATTTTGAACAAGTTTTTTTACTCAACTTCACAAGGGTAAAAATGCCCGTAGTTGAAGAATGGCCCATAGATGGAATAGGGTATCCAAACCATCAGGGAGGGCCATTCTCTAAAAGATGATATAATAACCATTGATTTATTGGCTTTTGGCCACCACCAATAATGAAAACATGATGCTGTGACTTTTCTTTAAAATAACATGATTTTGCACTATTTTGCATATATATTTTCTATATAATCTTACATCACTGTCAGACATGCTAGATGCTAAAAAGAGACCTCGGTGGACTGAACTGAAGAAATGAACCAAAAAAAAAAAGAAATGTCCACCTCAAAGAAGGCGGAGCTTCAGAGGCACACCCACACATTGTCATCAACCAGTAGTTGCTGAAAGGCATTTATCAGATTTTGCTTTGGGCACACTTGTATGAAACTTTGAACTTTGTATGATGTCATACAAGTTTATTCTTTGATTTCTGCTGCAGTATATCGGAGCCTTGGATGAAAGTCCACTGAAAGGTTTAATTGAGACAGAGAGTCATTAAAGGCTTTCAAGCTTTTAACAGCTAAAGCAACCTGTCAAGAACACAGTGCACCGCTTGAGTAATTGTCCTATAAACACATTTATGAGCATTCATTCTCTTATTTCAACCAAAATCAGCAGGTTTTTAGTTGTAAAACATGATCAATTCTATATTCTAAAAAGCTTCTAATGTCTATAAAACCTGATATTTCTATTGAACGGCTCAACTTTTGGCTGCGTGTATCGTAGTACTCACCATATTCTGGCACCTGTCCTGTGCCCCTTTTCAACAGCAGACGTACCCGACGACCGCCAGCCTTGATGAGCTCAATGGCACGAGCGTGACTCATGTCTCTCGTACTCTCACCGTTAATTTCAATAATCTGATCTCCAACCTGCGGGCAGAAGACATTTATTCAGCATCAGGATCTTGCATAGCCTTAAAGGTTTTAATACAGCGTTTCTGCAGGTTTCACCAAGTCCAATTTAAGACTTTTTAAGACATTAAGACCTCGAAGAATGGAATTTCAGACTTATAATGGGCTGAATGCTAAGGGTTTGTTTATATGGCCCAGCCTAAAAAAATACTTGACCCATCAATAAACTAATTCTAATTAGTTATACAAAGCAAGCAGACCCTAGTTGTATATAATTTTTTTCAACACAACTAAAATAATTTTGCTAGAAGTTTTATTGAGATGTATCAGTGATTAGATGCGTGTTGGATTGATTGGGTAGCTTTATATAAACAAAAGAAAATTAAGACCAGTTTAAAATGGTTTAAAACCTACAAGACAATATTTCAGTGAATTTAAGACTTTTCAAGGCTTAATATTGGAGTTTTTTTTTGGAAATTTAAGATATTTTAAGACCCCACAGATACCCTGTAATAACATATTAACTGACCAATTAGAACAAAGAACACACAACACTTCAAATGTTTGGAGATTTTTTTTTCTCACATTTATTTGATGTAAAAATGGTATTGGCTATTTGTCATTGTGATTTTTCAAACATCAACAATCTGCAGTAAAGTGATCTGTCAGAGCCAGCGGTGTTACTAGACAAAGCTCTACTGCTAGGGCACAGATCTCTACCTTCTAACTACCCCTAACAAATAACAAACTTGTACGTGTAATGGACGCAATACATAACCAGCCTCTGAAGCAGTTTGTTAAAATGTTACTATGTGCTATTATCATAGTTTAACTTTTGTTCAGTTCTCTAGAGTTTACAGTGTTTCTTTTACAATTAGGCCCAATCCCAGTTCTATTTTTGTACCCCTTCCCCTTGGTCCTTCAAACAAAGTGTGAAGGGGTAGGGCTTCAAAATTTACCCGTAAGAATTGGGACACCACTACAGCACCTGCACACGTCATCATATGTCATTGGGATATCTTGCTTTATATGAGATCAGTCGTTGGACTGCTGTACTTATTCCAGTTGCGTTATTTTGGGGTATTTATCTTCAGGAAATCACTGAAGGTAGCGATATTATGTTATTATAACGATCTAATGTGGCAATAAGATCGTAACTATACTGTACATTTAACATAAGGGCCATATTAATAAATGTAAACACACGAAAACAACATTAACATCATAGCAGACGCTGTAAAAAGCCCAGCCACTAGACTTTTCTGACAGGGCATTCGATGGTATGTTGTGGGACAGCTGTACAGGAGTTATGATTAAGGATTATAGATTGCGAAATTTAGCAGTTTTTATTTTAACGGTTTTTTTAAAGCATGACGGTAAAACACGAACATGGTTAAGAACATATTAAAACATGTGCTTGTATGTCGTAAAAATTCATAACAATGAAATTTTCTTAGCCCTTGGTTTTGAGTGTGGTCCTGAAAAATCTCTCTATCTACCCCTTCCCCTTAGCCCTTCGCCTTCAAGATAAAGAGAATTGGGACACCCCTACCCCTTCACATGAACGTGCAAAACAAGGGGTAGGGGTAAAGAGAAGGGCTAAGAGGTAGAATTGGGATTGGGCCTTAATGCTGCAAACTTCAATTTAAGTTCAGTTTAAGATTCAAGCCCAAGTCACAGCAGAAAATCAATGCTTATGCATCTCTCAGCTCACAAATGCTAATTTTTAAAAAAAATATACGTTCTTGCGCTAGAACACAGGCTGAATGCATGTAACAACGTCAGACTACACACGTTTAACAGTCATTTAAGTCTGAGTCTAAAGTGAAAGTACACATTACATTTCTCCAGAAGTTACACATGTTTATTTAAAATAATGAGCATATTAATAAGATCAAGTTTTTATCCTTTTTACATACTGTAAATGGTAGCTAATAAACAGGACCAGATGGAATCTGTGGACGTTTTTTGCTATTTCTCCAGAGAATTTTGGAAAAAATCTGCAGAAAATAGGACTGTACAAACTGCATTGTACATTGAACATTTTTTATCTTAGTCAATAATATTACTTTAATTAATAAAAAAAACTGATATATATACAGATTTACACACATTTACACAAGTAAATAAACAGAATTAATGATGGGATTAAAATCTGAGGAAATCTGCGGAATTCAGCTGAAAATCTGCGGAATTTTGCGAAAAATCTACGGAATTCTGCGCGCAGATTCCGTGTGGGCCTACTTATAAAGCTATGTATTTTATGCCGATGTATAGAAGTGTTACGTTTTGCTTTAGTTTTTTTTTTTTTACAATAACCGAATGAATCTGAAAACAGTAACTACAAAACCGTTATATGAACCGAACTAAGAATTCTGTGAACCGTCCCACCACTGACAATTGTTTATTGTTTCAGACCTGACTCTGATGGCCTAGAATTAAGTTCAAGTGTTACGTCCCTGACTCATTATAAATGGGTCTCTCATTTGACCACACAATATCTCCCTGATCTGCCTAATGGTGGCGCTACAGTAAACAAGTATAAAATCACAAAGAACTCCTAAACTAGTAGTCGAGAATTCAAGTGTGTTATATCTCATTTATTGTAATCTTTTGCTTAAGATGAACAAAACATATGCCTGTTTTTTAATTTATATATTCAAAATGTATTTTAAAAATTAGATTGAGATTTCATAGATATATAATTATTTATTCTATAGCAATATTTTACTAAAATGGCTAAAGCTCTTGAACCGAATTTGATATTTCTATCAAAATTGGCGCACGTGAATGAGCTCAATATAAGGAACGAGTAGAAAAATAGCCGAGTTTGGCCACTTGATGGCACTAGAATAGAAATAAAAAACATGGAAATTGCTATGCTACCATCTGTTTTTAAAGGTCCCATGAAACTAAAATAAGTTTTTTAGTTTCAGTATTGTTCATTTTTAAGATATCTATAAGCTAGTGTGCTTCATAACAGTGACAAAATTTACATATAGAAGATATAAAATTGATAGAAACATGTAAAGCTTGTAGTTTGTCACTTCTGCTCAAATAGACTTACAGTTTAAATTCATGTCACCTTACACTACAGTTTCTCCCAAGGGCGTAGATTTAGCATGGACCAATATCCACCAACAATTGAAATGTCCCCACCAATAATATAATTGACTTTAAAAATTGTGCTGTCTATATTAACGCAGATATGTCGAAAGTGTTAAATATCGTGTCTCCTTGAGTCACACCACCGTGAAACACATTTGAACACTTATTGGCTGTGCCTTTCCCTGCTTACATGTGAGAGGCTGTAGCTGTGTTCAGACGTAGCAGCGCCAAAACAGCGCAGGGCAATTTCCCATGCAAGAATAAGGTGTGTACACACATAAGTGAAGACTCACTTTCCCTACTGACCTTAACTCAAGTTCACTATTGAATGAGTCCATCATGATAATGCCGTTAATGCTTGTGCTTTTTCCCCCCGTTTTAATGCACAGTCTTACGATATAGCAGACTGATGACTGGATAATACGCCCTGAAAACTAAATGCAGAATAAACAGCTGAATGTAAAAGTACATGATCTCTCCCAGTTTTCCTAATCTCTCAGAGTAGTTTGTGCAATTTCGGTTGAAACAATTTGTCAGAAAAGCCTGTGCTCCATCTTTTATTACTACTGATATACGAGACCGGTTTCATTTTCACTATGGCTAAAATAAACAGAAGTCTTTATTAAACTCTCTCTTTATATCCGTTAATAAAAATTCTTTTAACATTACACTATCAGGCCTGTAGCTACAGTAGCTTATAGAAATGTGTGGTTATTTTTTGTTCTGAAAAACTCCCCCTTTTTGCAGTTATTTGTCTGATTTTCTATTTAATTATGAGGTATAAATATTACATTTTAGAGATGTAACAAATTGGGACACCCCTACCCCCTTCACATAAACGTGCAAAACAAGGGGTAGGGGTAAAGAGAAGGGCTAAGAGGTAGAATTGGGATTGGGCCTTAATGCTGCAAACTTCAATTTAAGTTCAGTTTAAGATTCAAGCCCAAGTCACAGCAGAAAATCAATGCTTATGCATCTCTCAGCTCACAAATGCTAATTTGTGAACAAATTTTTACTGGATTATCTTGTCGGATCAATATTATAGCCACACTTTTTTATGTTCCAAAAAAAAAAAATGTTGTCAAATAGTTTACCAAACTATTTTACTATGTTATACTATTTTTTATTCTGGAGAAAGTCTTATTTGTTTTATTTCAGCTAGATTAAAAGCAGTTATTAATTTTTCTAAAAACATTTTTGGGACAAAATAATTAGCCCCTTTAAGCAAATTTTTTTTCAATGATCAACAGAACAAACCATCGTTATACAATAACTTGCCTAAATACCCTAACTTGCCTAGTTCATCTTATTAACCTAGTTAAGCCTTTAAATGTCACTTTAAGCTGTGTAGAAGTGTCTTGAAAAATATCTAGTGAAATATTATTTACTGTCATCATTACAAAAGTAAAATAGATTATTATAAATAAGTTTTTAAAACTATTATGCTTAGAAATGTGCTGAAACAATCTTCCCTCCATTAAACAGAAATTGGTGAAAAAAAAAAAACAGGGGTGCTAATAATTCAGGGGGGCTAATAATTCTGACTTTAACTGTGTGTGTGTATATATGTATATATATATATATATATATATATATATATATATATATATATATATATACACGAATAATCAACTTGCCAGTATATTCAACTGTCCTCAGTCGGAATTTATGACTTTTATATGTTAGATATCTTTATTCTGAACAGCTTTGCCTCCATTATTTCTGTTGTCCATTAAATTATTCAGTAAAGTATAGTCCTAGGTATTTTGTTAAACATCAACAAAACCAGTCCAGTGTAATATTGTATAAATCTCTAAACTGCCTAGATCAATAATTATTTTAAAAAGGTGAACGTTTGTATTTAAACAGCTATAACAGGGTCATTAGCAAATCGCTTTTTTTATGATCCTAATTTTATACTGTCATTTTGTTATACAGAATACATGATCATTGATTTAAAGCACATATTTATTTTAAGAAAATCATGCAGACCCCAATCACATTGTCATCAGAAACTAGACTAAAATACATTCCAACTAAATCTTAATATTATTTTAGTGTGATACTCAATGGGAACAGTTTCATCTCGGATTGATGCGTCTGAAAGGGCTTTTCTCACCCTCATTCTGCCGTTGCGGACTGCAGGTCCATCCTCAGCCAGTCTCAACACAAACAGGTCCATCTTATATTCCCTTCCTCCGCGGATACTGAAGCCAAATCCCTTCACACTTTTCTCCAGTTCCACAGTGAAATAGTCATAGTCCTGGAAAAAGAAATGTAAAAAGTGTAAATAAATGTCTGGCACTGCTGCTTCTCAATAAAACCCCCGGAGTTGACTTTTATTGAGCCTTTATACAATATACATTTAATATGATTTTTTTCATATTTAAATGACCAAAAATAAGTTCTAAATATTTTTATTAAAAAAGGCATATTCATAGGGACCAAAAACCTAATTTAAGCTATGTTCACCGACATATTTGTGTCAGATGTGGTCACACAACCACAGCGCATTTAAATGAGACTAAATGAAATCAATATTTTGCACAAGAACAAAGAAATACTGATTATGATGTTTCTGAAGATACCTTAAACTGTGTTTTGTTCCTTTTGCTCCTCTCAACTTCCTTTTCTGTACATTTATTTATGGCTTCACTACTGTTTGTCGTGCCTATGAACTAAAATTAAATTATAATCCAGCACTGAACTATACATGTTTGTATATTGGATGGATTTTTCTAGTATCAGCATACGCCATAATTTTAGGTCATACAAATAAGAAGACATTTAAAATTTAAAGGGCTATTTTATTTGTTTACCCGTGATTCTAAAAAAACAGTGTGCTTAAATTCAGTAATATAGAAAGTCAAGCCTTGCTGTTTATATTGTTTCCACAAAGGGTTAACAATAGACAATCATTATCATATTATCACAAAAACTAGACCTCAATTACATCAGGACACATTACTGTAATGAAAAGTAGTTAAGGAGCTACTGAAGCAACATAATTCAGCTATTTTTGCACCACAGCAGATTGACAGCATAGTACAGTCCGTCCACAATAATGGCGACTGCACCACTGTGTGACGTCACATGGAACCAATGGAGGATTTTTTTGAAATTGTTGCAAATTTATTCAAAATAAAAAAGCTGAAAAATCACATGTACATAAGTATTCACAGCCTTTACTCAATACTTTGTTGATGCACCTTTGGCAGCCATTACAGCCTCAAGTCTTTTTGAATATGATGCCACAAGCTTGGCACACCTGTCCTTGGGAATTTGTACCCATTCCTCTTTGCAGTTTCTCTTAAGCTCTATCAGGTTGGATGGGAAGATCTCTCCAGAGAAGTTTAATAAGATTTAGGTCTGGGCTCTGACTGGGCCACTCAAGGATCACAGGATTCACAGGAGTTGTTGTGAAGCCACTCCATCAATATTTTGGCAGTGTGCTTTGGGTCATTATCCTGCTGGAAGAGGAACGGTCGCCCCAGTCTGAGGTCAGGAACACTCTGAAGCAGGTTTTCATTTAGGACTCTGTACATTGCTGCATTCATATTTCCCTCTATCCTGACTAGTCTTCCAGCTCTGCTGCTGAAACTCATCCCCACAGCATAATGCTGCCACTACCATGCTTCACTATAGGGATAGTGTTAGTCTGGTGATGAGCGGTGCCTGGTTTTCTACAAACGTCTGGCATTCACTCCAAAGAGTTCAATTTTAGTCCCATCAGACTCAAGAATTTAGTTTCAGATGCCTTTTGGCAAATTCCAAGTGTGCTGCTATGCGCCCTTTACTAAGGAGGGGCTTCTGTCTGGCCACTGTACCATACAAGTATGGTTTGTACACAGATGGTTGTCCTTCTGTAATGTCTCCTCTCTCCAAAGATGAACGCTGAAGCTCAAACAGAGTGACCATCGGGTTATTGTTCACCTCCTTGACTAAGGCCCTTCTCCCCGATCACTCAGCTTAGATGGCCGGCCAGCTCTAGGAAGAGTCCTGGTGATTCCAAACATCTTCCACTGACGGATGATGGGGGCCACTGTGCTCATTGGAACTTTCTTAGCAGCAGAAATTGTTCTGTAACCTTCCCCAGCCTTGTGCCTCAAGACAATTCTGTCTCTGAGGCCTACAGACAATTCCTTTGTCTTCATGCTTGGTTTGTCACACTCAACACTGGTGTACCACAGGGCTGTGTGCTGAGCCCCTTCCTCTACTCCCTTTTTACTGTTGACTGTAGGCCTGTTAATAGATCCAACACCATCATCAAATTTGCAGATGACACCACAGTGATTGGTCTAATCAGCAACAATGAGACGGCCTACAGGGAGGAGATACAGCATCTGGCCACTTGGTGCACCGACAATAATCTGCTCCTTAACACCAAAAAGACCAAGGAGCTCATTGTGGACTTCAGAAAGTGACGAACAGACTCACATGATCCCATCCACATCAGTGGGATGGCCGTTGAGCCTGTCTCATCCTTTAAGTTCCTGGGGACCCACATCTCAAAGGACCTTTCCTGGACCACCAACACCTCCAGCCTGATCAAGAAGGCTCATCAGCGCCTATTCTTCTTAAGGCAACTGAAGAAGAACCAGCTTTCATCAGCCGTCCTGGTGAACTTCTACCGCTGCACAATAGAGAGCATCCTGACAAACTGTGTCACAGTCTGGTATGGAAGCTGCTCTGTTGCTGAGCGTAAGGCACTGCAGCGGGTGGTGAAAACTGCCCAACGCATCACAGGGACCACACTGCCAGCCATAGAGGACATCCAGAAGAAACACTGTTTGCACCGAGCACTCAGTATTCTGAAGGACACCTTTCACCCTGCTCACAGACAGTTTTCTCTCCTGCCCTCCGGCAGGCGCTTCAGGCTCCCCCGGACAAAAACCAGCAGACTGAGGAACAGCTTTTTCCCCAGAGCTGTCTCCCTCCTGAACTCTGCCCCACACTGACTCTTTTGCCCCCCACTGACTCTTTTGCCCCCCCCAATACACCCCCCACTTTCCTCTAACTTAAACTCCTCGCAATAACTGCACTGTTTAACATTTGCACATTCACTGCACCACATTGAGCTGTTTACTTATTGAACTGTACATACCCACTGCATATGGGCATTTGTAATTATGTACACACCCACTATACATATACACTGTAATCATGCTTATTTATCTGCATACTACTGACTATTAATAGCAACCTGTACATATATTCATATATTGTTACATATACACTTGTAATCATGTTCATCTATCCCTGTACATATATTCATATATTGTAACATATACACTTGTAATCATGTTTATCTATCTGCACACTACTGATTATTAATAGCAACCTGCACATATATCCATATATTGTAAATCTGTTCATAGCTTATCCAACCTGTATATAATGTTCATAGTACATCCATCCCATCTGTAAATATCACCATAGTTTTCTATAACTGCACTTTATAACTTATTCCTGTATCCTGCACTTGCTGCTATTGCACTGCTGGTTATACCTAAACTGCATTTCGTTGCATTGTACTTGTACATGTGTAATGACAATAAAGTTGAATCTATCTAATCTAATCTTGTGCTTTGACATGCACTGTCAACCCTGGGCCCTTATATAGACAGGTGTATGCAGTTTCAAATCATATCCAATCAACTGAATTTACCACAGGTGAACTCCAATTAAGGTGCTGTAACATCTCAAGAATGAACAATGGAAACAGGATGTACCTGAGCTCAATTTAAAGCAAAAGCTGTGAATACTTATGTACATGTGATTTTTCAGGTTTTTTTTTATTTTTAATACATTTGCAACAATTTCAAAAATAAGGCAGTAACAAAAAAAAAACATGGAAAAAGTGAAGAATATTTTAATACAAAGTTATTATATTGTCAGAAACTGTCTAAAAACACATTTATATAGGCTTTCATACAACACAGATGTGTTTATAGCAGCTGTAAATATGTAATGTTGTTGTGTGTGACCTGTGGCCTGTAGTCAGCGATGGAGTGTTGTCTGTAGTCGATGAGCGCAGGCGGGTGTCTATACTCCATGGTCGGGGGCTGTCTGTAATCTGCCACAGGGGGATGTCTGTAGTCCACTGGCGGCTGTCTGTAGTCTGTGTAAGCAGCTTGGCAAATATCAGGTTTAACATCCTGCCTGGCCTTTACCTCCGACCTGCAGACACCAACAACAAAGTCAAGTTAAGCGATTATTCAGCAAACTGCAGTGCCCTACACTAATACCCTTGCTAAATATGAAAAAGAAAGCTGTGTAAAGGCTGCGTATTTCTCATTTAACCTTTTGATAATTCCTCATAATTTCAAAGGTCCTATGAAATTAAAATAAAGTTTTGTAGATGTTAGTATCATTACTGTTAGCTTTTAAGATACGTATAAGCTAGTGTGCTCCAAAACAGTGTCAAAATTCGCATTTAGGAGATATAAAGCTGATATAAACATGTAAAGCATGAAGCTGTAGTGTCACTTCCTGCAAAATGGATAAATGGTTTTATTCACCTCATACTTCAGATTGTCATCAAATCATAACCAATCAAATGCTCTCTAGTGTGTGACATGCCCCACCCCCTATAAGACGCTTCTCATTTGCTTTTTATTTGATCAACTGGCAGAGCTGTAATTAAAACAAAATGCTATTGGCTGTTTAAAAAAAGGGGAGGAGCTACTCAGACCCACCCTTTCTTCGTGTTTTGGTTTTAAACTTCAAATAAAAAAGCATATTTCAAAGCACTTCATGGGACCTTTAAGAAAAAATCTGTCTTCTCACTCTAATTGAGAATAAAACAAAATCCAAACCCAGCACACTTTTGTCACAAAAACAAATATCTTTGTAAAATATATGTGTGCCACAATTATTGGCACCCCTAAGAATTCATATGAGCACATTGTGTAGACATATAACATTTTCAGTACACCTGGTTGACTAGGCACAGGACATTTATCAAGCATGACCTACTGTTTCATAAAGCTAAACAAACTGTATGAATTAACCAATAGTTGTAATTGTAAACCATAAACACTTGCAATATCTATGCGATAAGCTAAACTTTTAGGTTTACGCCAGAATGAGACTATAGTTCCTACTTATACTGACCTAGAAAATAGCACGATGTAACTACATACTTTAGATGGGTAAATTATCAATTTTTGTTTTTATTTTTTCAAAGCGAGATGCTTACGGTCTAACCTAATACAATGATTTATGCTAAGCTAAGCTAAACATGCTCCTGTCAGAGCTGGAGATTGGCTGAATTGGTTCAAAAATAGTCAATAGTCAACTATTTACAGTTGATGTCAGAATTACTAGCCCACCTTTTTATTCCCCCCAGCCCCGAATTTCTGTTTATCGGAGAGAAGATTTTTTTTCAACACATTTCTAATCATAATAGTTTTAATAACTCATTTCTGATAACAGATTCATTTGATCTTTGCTATGATGACGGAAAATAATATTTGATTAGATATTTTTCAAGACACTTCTATACAGCTTAAAGGGACATTTAAAGGCTTAACTAGGTTAATTTGATTAACTGGGCAGGTTAGGGGAATTAGGCAAGTTATTGTATAACGATGGTTTGTTCTGTAGACTATCGAAAAATATATTGCTGAAAGGAGCTACAAATTTTGACCTTAAAATGGTGTTTACAAAATTAAAACTGCTTTTGTTTTAGCTGAAATAAAACAAATAAGAATGTTTGTATAAGAAAAAATATTATCAGACATCCTGTGAAAAGCATGTCTTTCTTTTCTGTTTCATTCTTTTATAATCTGTTTTAACAATTTAATCTGTTTTTATCTGATTTTAATCATTTTTAAATCTATTAATCATTTTTATTTTCTTGTTTCTTTTCTTCTTGTTTATGTAAAGCACTTTGAATTACTATTGTGTATGAAATGTGCTATATCAATATACTTGCTTTGCGTATTTAACTCCAGGTGACCGACACTGTAAAAATGCTTGGTTCAACGCAATAGATTTTTGTTGGGTAAACATGAAGAAATTGAGTTGACTTTTTTTTCTTTTTTCTTTTACAAATGTAAGTGGATTAAACATAAAACAATTAAGTTGAAAATAATTGTCCACAGCATTCTTTACTCATATTTAGCAAGACCACCATTATTAGTGGAGTTCATTGTACTGTAAATCAGTGTTTACAGTACACATATTCAACATCTTCCTATTCAAACACCATAGATGATTACATTAGACTTCACCTACGCTGTTGTTGTCTTTTGAAAGGAATGCGTCAATAGAGCTGCCATTTTGGTACAGGGTAGCGCTCCTTTGAAATGAATGTGGGACCAACGTGTAGTGGAAGACTGGCCATTTGGAGCCATTGATATGTTAAATTTGATCTAATCCATGTCCTGAAACACACCCCCTCTCTCACTTCCACTTTTAATGCTAACGGAATAAGAGATTTGTTTGTGTGCATATCCATCTTTCTGATCAAAATGGTATATAATATTTGTAACATTCAATAATTTAGGGGGGACAGTATGCACACTGAGGCTATGCCTATGTTATCAGGCACCCTTATAACGTTAGGTTACTTCAAAAACTAGCTGTTACGTCACTTAGCAGATAATAATACAAGTTTCTGGCACCACAGCATCTTGTCGTTATTGTTTTTTTTACATTGTTTGCTGATTTTATTCAACAAAACTAGCATAAGCCTAGAATTTAGTGCGAGTCTGGTGCTACTTTGCCTTATGGTCAGTCTAATAAGTGATTGTATTATCATCTATAACGCTACTTGTTAAGCACAAAAGTTTGTGACATACAAAAACATAAAAAGCCAAATCTTACCTATAAATTGTTCTGCCTTTATGCTTTGTTTTCTTTGTTTGCTCATTACTACACACATACACAGCAACAATTCAGCATCTTCAGATTGGCTTTATTACTGACAAGTGCAGTTGAATGATTTTTGTCCTGGGAGCACTGTACAAATATGGCGTTGGTAATGACGTATGCTCAGGGTCTGTATGTGATATATCTAGTCTATATATCTGTATTCAAACCCACCTGAATCAAATCATCAGAACATTAGAAGAGACTCGGAAACCTAAAATGAATGGTTCAGATGAGTCAGACATCCAAAATATGTACTGTTGGTGTGCCTCCAGAAACAGAGTTGGGAAACACTACTGTAAATGACCAAAAACAACTCAATATTAAACCACCTAAGCTCACCATTATATCTCATGTACTATAAAAACAACCTGTTTTGTTCGTTCTGTGTCCAGCGGTGACCTTTCTCTCTCTCTCTCTGTGAGCATGTGAATGGGGCTTCGCTTATGGGCCGAATTTATCAAGTCTCTTTTTCCATCTTTCACAATGCATACATTTGAGCTTAGGGGGAAAAGAAAATATGTGCAAACCCAGCCTGGGAGGAGAAGTGTGTATTATTGAGGAGGTAAATAAAAAATTTATGGTGAAGTGTTAAGTGATGTTAGTGGGGCTGTTGAAAGAGAAGGACAGCAGGCGCTCGGAGCATTATACCAGGCTGCTCAAGGCTGTTTGCTTGAGTCCAAAGACTACCTAAGAGAAGCCCTTAAACACATGTGGTCACAAGAGGGAAAAGAAATGGAATAAAATGAGAAGCTTAGACCGGTCAGTCTAAAGAGAGCATGTCTGACTGATATTTCTTATACCACTCGTGTAATGTATACTAAAATATGAATGCCATAAAAAAGACTTAGTTTTTTTTTCTTATGTAATATAAATAAATGCGATCAAATGTGCTGAAAGTTTAATAATACTGACAAAGAAATAAATAAATGCAGGTTGACTATATACATTGTTTAAATTCCATTTAATAGTCATATATACACTCACCGGCCACTTTATTAGGTACACCTTCTATTACGATGCTTTTTGTACGACCCCCTTTTGCCTTAATCCTAATATTCCTCACAGATTTTAGTCTACATTGACATGATAGCATCATGCAGTTTCTGCAGATTTGTCAGCTGCACATTCAGGGTGCAAATCTCCCGTTTCACCACATCCAAGAGGTGCACTATTGGATAGAGATCTGATCACTGTAGAGGCCATTTAGGTACAGTGAACTCATTGTCATGTTCAAGAAACCATTCTGAGATGATTCACGCTTTATGACACCGCACGTTATTCTGCTGGAAGTAGCCATCAGAAGATGGGTACACTGTGGTCATAAAGAGATGGACATGGTCAGCAACAATACTCAAGTAGGCTGTAGCGTTGACACGATGTTTAATTGGTGCTAATGGGCCCATAAGGTGCCAAGAAAATATCCCCCACACCATTACACCACCACCACCAGCCTGAACTGTTGATACAAGGATTCATGCTTTCATGTTGTTGATGCCAATTTCTGACCCTGCCATCCGAATGTTGCAGAAGAAATTGAGACTCATTAGACCAGGCAATGTTTTCAATCTTCTATTGTTCAATTTTGGTGAGCCTGTGTGAATTGTAGCCTCAGTTTCCTGTTCTTAGATGACAGGAGTGGCACCCAGTGTGGTCTTCTGCTGCTGTAGCCCTTCCGCCTCAAGGTTTGACGTGTTGTGTGTTCAGAGAAGCTCTTCTGCAGACCTCAATTGTAATGAGTGGTTATTTGAGTTACTGTTGCCTTTGTATCAGCTCGAACCAGTCTGGCTATTCTCCTCTGACCTCTCCTCTGCCATCAACAAGGCATTTGCACCCACAGAACTGCCGCTCACTGGATATTTTCTCCTTTTCTGACCCTTCTCTGTAAACCCTAGAGATGGTTGAGCGTAAAAATCCCAGTAGATCAGCAGTTTCTGAAATACTCAGACCAGCCCGTCTGGCACCAACAACCACGCCACGTTAAAAGTGACTTAAATCAGCTTTTTTCCCCATTCTGATGCTCGGCATGTCTACAATACTAAATGCATTGAGTTGCTACCATGTGATCGGCTGATAAGAAAATTGTATTAACAAGCAGTTATGTACCTAATAAACTGGCCGGTGAGTGTACTTTCTATTTGCTGACAATTAAGTAAGTGTTGGATTTTAGGCATTTATTTAAAGGAATAGTTCACCCAAAAATTTAAATGCACTCACTATTTTTTCACCCTCGAGTGGTGTCAAACCTTTATGAGTTCTTTCTTCTGTTAAACACAGAAGATGTTCTGAAGAAAGCTAAAATCCTGCTGCCTTCCATAGTAAAAAAACAAACATACCATAAGAGTCAATGGTTACAGGTTTCCAACATTTTACAAAATATCTCCTTTTGTGTTTATCAGAAGAAAAAAACTCAAAGGCTTGAAACAAGTAAAGACAAAATTTTCATGTTTGGGTGAACTAAGTTTTTCACATGACATGATATTCTAAGATTTGACTGGGGTAGCATAGTTCTTTATTATTGCAGTCTTTGCAACAGAGAGCTTTTGTTTCTGCTCTGATAAATGCAAAACTACAACAAAAGGATTTTGCATCTGGCTAAAGAACATTTGCTTATTTTTTTTTTTTTTACATCTTCAAACCAGTTGAAATCCCATCTGGCCAATGCGCTTCAACAATATGTCCTGTAATGATTAAGAATGAGGTCAGTAGGCAGAGAAGCTGTTTGAATGCATTCAACCACATGAAAACAATCCAATGAACCTCATGGGCTTACGACTATCTCTTAATGTGACAAAAGTGGAAAAGCTCAAAAAGTTTCAAACACTGTTTACGCATGAATTTAGTTTCCTCCACTTCTGATTAGACCAATGAAAATGCATCTTTACCGCAAGAAGCCATTAAATACCGGTACCTATTAATAGTGCTTTTTATTTAGATACCAGCATCTTTAGTAGTATTCACTAGATACCAGTTCTTATTTACTGGATATAAGTACTCATGAATTGTTGTTACTTATGAATTACTAGAATTTATTCTTTAGATATGTTTACTAATACTTTTGTTAGACACTAGTAGCTATTAAATAGATGCTATTAATTATTCATTCATTAATAGTACTTGCAGTATTTTACGTATGACTATATCTACTAACACTTTTCGAAATTTTGCCATTGACGTCTATGGAGATCTGTCATCGAGATTCAGTTTTCTATTGAGTTAAAATCAGTTGTTTGTTAAAGAAAATACCAATTTCTTTAAGATTTTTACCAAATGATGATGTTATTTGAAAGCAACAAAACAAACATGCTCATAACCCAACAGGACCTTGTACCATTATGATATCTCCGCTACAGATAGACACATCCCTTACTGCTGATTGGCTGCAAGTGTGTTTTGCGTATCAGTCTGACACTGTGGTCAAAACACATTTTTCAGAAATCCAACTACAAAAGATACTAGTACTCATTCATGAAATGTTTCCTACGAATTACTAGTATTTATTTGTTAAATACGTTTACTAATACCTTTGTTGGATACAAGTAGCTATTAAAGATTCAGTTTTTATTTAGTTTCCCATTCATGGGATGAAATCAGTTGCTTATTACAAAAAATACCCATATATTTATTTAAATTATATAAACATAACTTTTGTAAATGAAAAGCTAGGAAAAAGCATCAAAGGATGTGAAATCAGCTTTCATATAGTTTGTACGTTATCAAAACATACAATCTGCAACGTTTCACAATGTAATGGATTTTTATAGATCACATCACAAATATTCAAGTTGATGAATAGATAACAGTCCCTCCAGGATTTTGACCCCAAAAAATCCAAGATTCTTATGACTAAAATAAGGAGTGGCAAATTTTGTTTTTGTGGCTAAATTTGATGCATTTATTTGATTGTTTTACTTTAAAAATATAAACATATTTACACATTTTTATCATATTTGATAAAATTTGTGAGTTGACAATGTTTGAAACCAATTGTTTAAAAATAAATGCTAAATCGTCTATGTTGTTTGTGCAATATTATGTGTGTGTGTGTGTGTGTGTGTGTAAGTGAGTCACAGTCAACAACTGAAGAGCCCACAAGACATACTGGAGGGCAATCCACACATCACCTCTGCCACTCACCAGGACTACACTTACCATCATCTTTTGCATCTAACACCCGATAACACTTCGCTGGACCAATGCACTGGTTACCACAGCACCTATTCACAATCATCTGCTCTATTTAAAGCACCCAGTCACTCCCTATCCTTCTAAAGTCTTGTTGTTTCTTGCATGAACACTTCTGAGTGTGTTTCTTGTTCCCTGTTCCTGCCTGGTTTGCTTGTTTTGTTTTGTACTGTCTTCTGAATTCCTCAACCTTTGCTAATTACCTTTGCTAGTTACCCCTGACATTGTAGTCTGCTCCTGTTATGACCTTTGCCTGCTTTGACTATACCGAATAAAATCTGCGTTCGAATCCGCTCCAGTTCATTTAACATATTTACAGTATAAAGACGTTTAAGCTCAAGTTAGCCTAGATCATACAGGCATTGAAGAGTGTGTTGACAAAATGAGGCTCTGCACAGTAGATGAGCACAAACTATTCACAAGTAGTATAATGTTTTTGAATGTAAAACCAGGATTTTGATCATTATCCTGACTGCCCAAAATATGTGGGAGATCTGCAGAAATGTCAAAAAATTGTGAGCTCTTCAAAATTTTGCTACATTTGCTTGATTTTACGTAAAATTCAGAGATTACAGAATCAATAATAAATATATATATATAATATATACCTGGTGTCATGAAGATAGAGTTGTGGAGGCACCGGCACCGGCACTGATCCAATGATAGTGGTTTGAATCCCCGTCATGCCTGGATCCAGAACCGGAGCAGCCTGAGTCATGGCTGAGCCTGTCTGCATGCTCTCCAGGCCGGCCTGACTCACAGACACACTGCCCTGAATGAGCGGAGGGCTGCCGTGTGGAGCTCCAGGACTCTGGTCTACCAGTAGTGGGCTGGGCTGTGTGGTGGCTGGGCTGGGGTGAGGGGCTGGAGGGCTGGGATGTGCCATGGTAGGGCTCTGCTGGGTTGCCGGGCTGGACTGGGTCTGTGGGCTGTGCTTCTGGGCCACCATGGGACTCTGCTTTTCCGATGTTGGGGCCGAGTGAGCACCATTTACGTCTAGGGCAAAAAATAATTGAGTATAAGAAAAACAAGATTCTTTACGATACTATATTGTGATAAGGGATGCACAGATGGATTAGACAGAAAAAGCATTTTAGAAACTGGATGTTGTTTTAATATAACTTGCAAACAAACCTTACTGGAATGATTTTTTTATGGTATACAGTGTGTAAACGGAGTGTTAGCAGAGGTCAGAAATACAGAACAGATGTACAAACAAACAAAACCTTACTGTGCTGTACTGGCAGCTCAAATGTCACAGAGGAATGACCGAACACCCACAGAAATAAACAAGATACTGTGCGTGCATTTTAACAAAGGTAAAAACAAATTGACCTTTGTTCATTTCATCGTCGCTCATTCCGTGATGTTGACAACATTAAATAAAAAAGACTGCATGAATAAGGCAGTTTTCTTTATAACTCATGTACGTTTAAGCGATAGCTTGGAGTGTTGCGTTTCAAAAAGTGAAAACATTGAAGATGCAAGATGTGCAGCACCTGAAACTATGGACACTGGAAGCCTGTGCTGGCATTTCTCCTGCGGTGTTGCTATCAGTGTGTGAATAGTGGGAGTAGAGGATTGCATTGACAAACCAACACAATGGGCAGCACATTGAACACAAGTGGTCAGAAACTTGTAAATAACTCATGAAAGAATAAAGTTACATTAAAACTAAGCACACCATTGCTTTTCTTGTTTAATTCCCAATAAGTTTGATGTGTCACATGTCTTCCTGTTGAAAAAAACAAAAGTTGGATCCAAGTTGGCAGACTTCAAAATGGCCACCATGGTCACCTCCCATCTTGAAAAGTTTGCCACCTCACATATACTAATGTGCAACAAACAGGATGTTAATATCACCAACCATTCCCATTTTATATAGGTGTATCCATATTAATGGCCCACCCTGTAGAGAGAAGGTGATGTGATGCACAGTGCACAAGTGTTTAAAAAGAGCTGGCGGGCTCACATGCAGATCTGTTTATCCTCTCGTGGAAGAAATCTGCTGTGCATGAAAACAATTGGTGCACTCAATCAGATTTATCATGGAATTTAAAAAAAAATGAAGCTCATTCACTCAGTCTTGCTGCTCTCAAGAGTTTGATGTGAAAACATTGACCGTACGTTCACACCGCGGCGCGTCTTCGCCGGCGTGAGCGTCGAGGAGAGTTGAAATGAAGTCAACTTTATGGTAATGAGCTATGACGCGGTTCGGCGGCAAGCAATCAAAATGAAGACGTCCATCGCTTGATAGCAGTTCAGAGAACACAGACCAGTGAACTTTGGTTCCGACCACAGTTGTTCCCAAGGGTTTGATTATTGCGGTCGCCGGATTTCCAATTATTTAAATTTTTTTCCTACAGGAACATACATTAGATAAGTTACTGGCGAGTTACTGATGTTCATTAATGATATATAAATTTATCTTAAAAAAGCGGGAATCTCACGCGATGTGACAGTACAAAACAGTACTGCTGCTTCAGGATATTTCAGACATATGGACACATATTGGATAAATAGAGCAAAGCCACACCACACGCAACTTGATCTTCTATTGTTGTATGAATTTGATAAGAAGTGCGCAACATTTTCACGCTAGAAACATGTTTTATGCAGGAATGTAACTGATATGCTGCAACGGCTCCTTTAAGTACGAGATCAATGTAGCTCTCGCCGGAGGAGCTAAAGGCAGAGAGCGTTGTCGCCAGGGCGGCCAGAGCGACCTTGGACGCTCTCGCCGCTTTCGGTGTGAACGTACGGTTAGTCTTTTTGTAAACAGCAGTGGTAGCCGGGTTCTGTTTAACCAATTATTGAACAGATTATTAATAACCACTCAAAGAACATTTTACTGCACACATTCTGGGCTTCAAAAACACAGTGGACTTGAATGCGTCTTTAGGAAAGTGAAATGGTGTTATTCCTGCTTTTCTATAAGCACCACCTACTGGAAGATTGTAAGTTTCCTTTTTCTTCAGCCGGTTTAGTGTATTTGCTTTATATGGGTATTTTTGCTTGCTACTTTTTTAATGATAAAAAACAATATTGAAGTTATACAATCTATCTGACCAATTTGCTTTTTAAAAGGGCAATTGGCCATGAAAAAAAAATGACCATACCTTCCTCTGGGATGATGTGCAGGGTGACAGTGAGTCCAGCGTCTTTGATCAGCTTGACAATGTCTGCGTGAGGCATGTTGATAATAGACTGACAGTTGACAGCCATAATACGGTCGCCAACCTTCAGCTTTCCACAGCGATCGGCCGGACTGCCCTCGATGATGCGGCCGATCTTATGTGGCACAGCTACAAAACACACACCAATGGAGAGTTTCATGAAACTGGGTAGAAAAAAACTTTACACATACTTTAGTTGGAAAAATATAGTGATACGTTCATTTTAATAAAAAAAGAAATGATTGTGTAGTACAAAATGTCCAAAATAAAGGGATTTAATAAATTTTCTAAAAAGCCTGCATTTAGTAAAACACAGTTCTAAAACTCCCTCAAATTTAAATGATAAAGTGGCTGCCCCAAGTCCTGACCTAAAACTGATTGAAAATCTCTGAAAAATCCTTGAGAGACTAATAATATCCTCTGAAAAACTAGTGATGTCATTTGAGAGACCATTTTATCGTGCCATATGTCACAGGTTGAGCTGGGAGAAACCCCAGTACTATCTTAATTCTGTCCTATTTGGGGTAACGCATTATTCGTAGAAGGGAAATCAGACATGGGTTTTAAGCTGCGGTTTCAGAAAGGCTTACGGAAGAGATCAGATCTTTATGAAGATAATATACTGATGACCTTAGATAAAGCTTCCAGCTTCCAGCCTCCATAGCTGAGACTGCAGCTTTGACTTTTGGCCAGCGGAGAAACTAAAATGGTTGCCCAACTGAGTCTGGGTTCTCTTTAAGGTTTTTTTTCTTCACTCTCCTATCGGTGAAGTTTTTTTTCCCTCTCCGCTGTCACCTCTGGCTTGCATGGTTCAGGATCGGTAGGGCTATGCATCGATGAATTTGCTATTCAGTGTTTGGACTCTCAGTAATGACTTTAAACCACACTGAACTGAGCTGAACTGAACTGAACTTAAACACTAAAAACTGAACTACCCTGATCCAGTTACTATGACCATTTATGTGAAGCTGCTTTGACACAATCTACATTGTAAAAGCGCTATACAAATAAAGATGAATTGAATTGAATAAAAAATTCCTCAAATGCCTAATTTTTTAAAGAAACTTCAGATCCATAATTTTATAAGTTCTTAAACTCATTCATACCAGTGCCCGACCCTAAGTAGTTTAGAAGAAATTGCAGTTAAAAATGCCAGTGCCAAATACAACATTTCTACGCTATATAGCAAATTCGTTAATGAATCTACAAATCATAAAAGATTGGCTTGGATTGATGACCTTTAGATGGATGTATGTATGGCTCTGTTGGGATGGGGTGGGTGTACTTTGATTGGTATTTGGTTTAAAATACAGTATGTACTATCATATATATATATATATATATATATATATATATATATATATATATATATATATATATATATATATATATATATATACACAAACACACACACACACACACACATATATATACACATACATATATATATATTTATACATACATACACACACATTATATATATACGTATTTACATTACACAAACACACACACACACACACACACACACACACACACACACACATATATATATATATATATATATATATATATATATATATATATATATATATATATATATATATATATATATATATATATATATATTAAAGCATGGGTAGCATGGGTAGGGAACCTATGGCTCGGGAGCCACATGTGACTCTTTGACCAAAAATATGTGGCTTTACAACTGTCTCCCTTCAAAAAATTTATTGTTTCCTAATGACCTTTTTATTGTATATTTTTACAGCAAAATTAATAAGAATAAGAATAAAAGGACGCTTCAACGCGTTGTGCGGTGCTGTGAATTAACTTGAAACGCGACAACAATAAAGGGGCATGCAACTTACATTTCTATGGTAACCTTGCACACGTAAATTCAAACAACATTAGTAAGTGATGGCGAAAAGAAAAAAAAATCTATAAATGATCCCTTCTTAATACATGGACTTGCGAAACATGTGATGCTTCATATACAGTATATCACCAACGGTTCTTTAAAAAAATGCATTTGCCCAAAAAATCTAAAATGGCTCTTTGCTGAAAAAAGGTTCCCGACCCCTGTACTAAAGTATAAACTAAACAGATATTAAATAGGCCAGACAGGCTTCATTTACTATATGAAAAAAGGTATAAACCAAAAGTTATCCTATATAAGCATCCTAAGATCCACCCAAATATTAATAAAGGACCTAGAGACTTCATCTCTGACTTTCAATAAATCTGTACTTCCAACAATATTGTGTGGAACAATAAAGAGCTTGTGTTCATAAAAGCCTGCATTATGAACGCTGACCGGATCATCAGACTGACAGCAGTGTAAAAGGACTCACTTATTGTGTTTGTGGTCTCTGGACGGTTGAGGGAGCTGATGATGACAAAGCCGAAGCCTTCACTTTCCTTACGGTGAATGACCACATCAGTGGTGGGCGGCAGGTTGACCGGACAGACAGCGTGACCTCGAGGAGAGCTGTTCTGATTGGCTGAACCACCGTTCTCCTCACACGGTTGACCTGCAGGTGGCAGCAAACACAATGTCAGTCAATACACACACAGACTAATAGAGAAAAGAGACACAGATATTACTGACTCGCATTCATGCTGATTTACATCATAATGTCAATCAACCATCAGATCTGAATGGTTTTCATTTGGAATAAAACGGTTTGCTTTTATGACTTATATAGTATGATGTAGTTAGAATATGGAGAAACCTTAAGAATAAGTAAAAATATGCAGTTTGCTGTAGATTTAGTTTAAATGGTCCAACTTTAAGTAGAAATAGTCATAGTTGAACAAAATATGATGAAATCAATTTAATAGAAACTGCCTCAAATGAATCTTAGAATTGGGTGTAAAATATTATTTAGAAAATATTTGGTTTTAGTTCCCTTTTCAATATTTAATTGACTAATTTCCTTTTTTATTTTTTCTGCTCATAACAGTACTGCATAATTTTTTAATTTTTGTTATTCATCATGATGTAATTTGGTGGTAATGTCCTTAATTCTTTGGCAAACCCTATTTAACTGGTAGCCCAACTTTCTAGCTTTCACTGATTTTGCAAGATGAGCCGTTCCTTGACCAAATAAAGGCCAATTTAAAAATAAAGCTCCTTTTAACCATAGCAAGAGCAATAGCTTGTTCCAAATGTCTAATTACAAGAATATTGCATCTCTATAGTGTCACCAACTCATTTAGGTTCAATGTTTGTCAGAAGCTCCTTTAACAACATGTGGTTCTTAAAATCAGCCAGTATGTTTTCATGAGGTCAGCGAGTTCCTGTCATACAACAAAACAAGTAAAGCAGTTCCTTCAAGCTGAAAACACTGAAATAATAAAGTGGCAGGCCAGAGCCCTGACCTAAACCTGATTGAAAATCTCTATAAAAATAAGTCCTTTGAGCAACTAGTGATGCCATTTGAGAGACTACTGATGTGGCGTGTCAGACTAGTGATGTCATTTGAGAGACTAGGCGTGTGCTGTGGCTGCAGGTGTGCTGAAGTCATTCAAAGTAAGGGTCTGTTTAATTCCTACACATTTTTATCTGCAATAACCTTTAGAAATTTCCCCTGTAAAATTTCTTGGTGTAGTCATTGCTGTTCTCGAATTCTGATCACAGTGTTTTCCGCAAAATAGAGGGTTTTATTTAATTTTCTTGAAATTCCTCCATTTTGTAAAACACTGTTCTAAAACTCCATCAAATTTTTAATGATGAAGAGGCAGCCCCAAGTCCCGATCTAAACCTGATTAAAAAAATCTCTGGAAAATCCATAAGAGACAAATTGGGTCCTGTGAGAAAATAGTGATGCCATTTGAGAGACTAGTGATACCCAGTGAGAGACTATAGATGTGGTGTGAGAGATTAGGGATGTGCTGCAGCTGCAGGTGTGCTCACGTCATTCAAAGTAAGGGTCTGTTTGCTTCCTACACATTTTTAACAGCTATAACCCTCAGAAATGTCAGTTGTAACATTTCTCTTTGCTACAAACAGTCATTGCTGTTCTCAAATTTTGATCACAAGAGATTACATTTTCTTGAAATGCCAGAATTTTGTAAAAGACTTTTATTAAAACACCTTAAATTTTTGTAAGATGAAGCGGCAACCCAAGGTCCTGATCTAAACCTGACTGAAAATCTCTGGAAAATCCTTGAGAGACTAGTCATGTCCTAGAGATGTGCAAGAGATGTAACTTTTACACATTTTAAGTGTCTTAAATTGTTGATCTCGACTGTATAATTTGTAATCCTGTGTGTTTGACGGTGGGCATACACTAAGGGAACAGTTCAAAACACAGTATACTGTAGTATTTGGCTTACTCTGCTGCGTCAGAACTCTCCTCCTAACCGTCAGGGTGACCTGTCCATTTCGAGCTGCCGCATGCATGAGGTCGATGACGTAGCGATGTGGTCGTCCCCCCACAGGCATCCTGTCAACCGAGACCAGCTCATCTCCGGGACGCAGCCTGCCGTCCCGCTCTGCTGGGCTATTCTCAATGATTGCTCCAATCACAATCTGTGGAGAGAAATCAGACATCACATTGATGTCATCTAACATTGATCCATTCATAATAATACTAATTGATAATACTGACAACGATTTACAAAGTTATCTTCACTAGCTAATGAGATTCTATTATCTTGACAGAAAGCGCTGGTGTTTATTTGTGAAAAGTAGATGAAAGTATCAGGGATTACCAAAAACCACTAGCTTAGAGACGACTGTAAATAAACGTATTTCACATTAACGTTCTTATGGTATATACTCATGGTATCAAATGCTAATGGGTCAAAGATGTTAGTGCAACCAATAAAAAATAATTTATAATGTGGTTTTACATAGCAAACAAAATAATTCAAAAAGTATTTTAATTTTAAGGACAAAATAAGGCTAAAATGATCATCATTCAGCATAACACATTTATTTATGTATTTTTATTTATGTACACATTTATTTATTTTATTAAAATAAATAAAATAATAACTGATTATTAGACAAATGTTCATTTATTTTAAATTGTAAACATGTTGCTGTTCATCTTTAACTCATTTACCATGGTACAGAACAAGGTTAGTGTTATTGTTAATATTTATGAGGAATTAGCAGAAAAAAACAAACTTTAACTAAAACTATTAAAAATATAAACATTTCCAAAAATTATTTTATCTTTTTTAACTTTTCAACTAACTTCAGTCTAAATATGTATTTAATTAATAAATAAATTAATGAATAAACAAACATTGATCTATTTACACAAAAAGTAGCTCTTTGACTGACACATAAAACACCCAATCACAGATTTGTGCCTCGTCACAGGCAGATGGAACAATCTGTACCCTGACATAAAAGAAGAAAAACTAAAATTGCAAACGACAAAAAAGGGGCAATTTAAGTAAAACGTAAGCTTCAATTTGGTGGGGAAATAGGGCTGGGCATTATAATGAAAATATCATGCTATGAGTTATAGTAATGAGAAATTGTAACTTCATATATTAGATTAAATTTCTTTTTAATTGTTTAATTGTTCAAAATGATCTATACTCTGAGATATATACTAACCAGCCACTTTATTAGGTACACCTGTCCAATGTTGATGCAAATTTCAAATCAGCCAATCACATGGCAGCAACTCAATGCATTTAGGCTAGACATGAAGAAGAGCATCTCTGAATGCACCACATGTCCAACCTTGTGGCAGATGGGTTACAGCAGCAGAAAATCACACTGGGTGCCACTTCTTTCAGCTAAGAACAGGAAACTGAGGCTACAATTCACCCAGGGTCACCAAAATTTGACAGTGATTTAGCATATTCTAAAGATTGAAAAAACGTTGCCTGGTCTGATAAGTCTCGATTTCTGCAGCAACATTCAGATGGCAGGGTCAGAATTTGGCATCAACAACATGAAAGCATGAATCCATCCTGCCTAGTATCAGGCTGGTGGTGGTGTAATGGAGTGGGGGATATTTTCTTGGCACACTTTGGGGCAATTAGTACCAATTGAGCATCGTGTCAACACCACAGCCTACCTGAGTATAGTTGCTGATCATGTCCATCCCTTAATGACCACAGTGTACCCATCTTCTGATGGCTACTCCCAGCAGGGTAACGTGCTATGTCATAAAGCGTGATTCAACTTTCAATGAGTTCACTGTACTCAAATGTCCTCCACAGTCATCAGATCTCAATCCAATAAAGCACCTTTAAGATGTGGGACTATAAAATGCACATCATGGATGTGCAGCCGACAAATCTGCAGCAACTGTGTGATGCTATCATGTCAATAAGGACCATAATCTCTGAGGAATATTTCCAGTACCTTATTGGATCTATTCCACGAAGGTTTAGGGCAGTTCTGAGGGCAAAAGGGGGTCCAACTAGGTACTAGGAAGGTGTACCTAATAAAGTGGCCAGTGATTGTACAATCAATCGTGATGTAGTGTTACATATTTTTAAACAATTAATCAACTGCAATACTTAAAATATACATAATTTTGCTTTAAAAGCTTAATGGACAAAGTCGGTCATAAATCATAAAGTGTACACAAGTCTTTATGTATCTTGCTTTTCAACTCAATACTGTTATTCAGCAAAGATGCATTGGATATATCAAAAGTTACAGCAAATAAATAAAATATATTGAAAAAAATGTTTCGTAATTTAGATTTGACTAAAGCGTGAACTGTATATAATCTTTTAATACACGACTATGATCACTATACTCATAAACAATCAAATTATAATGCTACATGCCCAAAGAAAGACAGACAGACAAAACAATACTGCTACTGTAACGTGCTGTAAGTAGCTGAATGGAACAGAAAAAGAGTGTGTCAGGTGTGTTTCCATCTGCTGCTCGTGGAGCTGTACAGATATGAACCAGTATCTGCTTATTCTGCCCCATACGAGCCTTGTCACGGGCCTCCGGACTCACAGCCTGCACCGCCTCGTCTCCACCCAGAATCCTGAAGCCGAAGCCGGTCTTCTCCCTCAGCAGGTGCACCTCCACCTCCTGATACTCCACACCTAAACAACCACAAACACAGTTCAGATATCACACACACAAACACACACAGCAGGAATGATTTAACACTGCTTTCTTTTTGGAGTGTAACCTATTGTCTTAGAAAAAATTGAGTATTTTAATTACTAGTATATAACAATTCTATTGTAAAAAATAAAAATGAAAATCTGAATGTACTGTCAGAATATAGAAATGCAATTAAAATATATACATCTGAATATATAATTTGTAAACATATAGAGTGCTTGGCATATACAAGTACACCCCACACAAATCTCCCATTTAAATGAATATGTTCTATAGAAAGCGTTACAATATCATAGTCAGAGAATATTAATGCAGACCTCTGAATATATAAACATATTTTTTACTAATATATTCCATAACATTACAAGACTACAAAAAGCATACTTGACATATAATGACCTAAATATGGAAAATTCCAGATGACGTTTTCGGCAACCTTGTATTACAGTATTTATTTAGTAATCAGAATTAAATAAATTTTATTATTGAGAATGATTAAAATTAGGAAATTAATTGTTAATAATACAAAAAAATGTATTTTTAATTTAGGCATAGGGTTAGAAATTTGACTTTTTTAACCAAATAAAAGTTTTTATTAAAGACATATAACTATCTTCAGTTTTTTTCACAGTATTTGCTATATATATATTTTTTTTTTCTGGAGAAAGTCTTATTTGTTTTATTTTGGCTAGAATAAAAGCAGTTTATATTTTAAAAAAAATACAAAAAATATTTGCCCTCATAAGCCATATTTTTTTCTACAGCAGTGGTTCTCAAAGTGGGGGTCGCAGGAGAATGAAGAGGGGTCACCTGGTGTTTTCCAAAAATCTATTTATTTTATTAAACCATAGGAATTACCATATTTTATCCATGAAAATAGTTGTTTATAGTTACTATATACCATATAGTTACTATAGTGGCTTATAGTTCCTAGTTGTATTGGATTGTGACCCCTGGGGTAATTACAGTATATTAAAGAAACAGCAATAGTGTCAGATGAAGCAGATTGATTTTTATAACGATTAAACTTTCTGGCACACTTACAGCACTGACATGCATTAAAAAAATAAAACGAAGATTAGACTTGGGTCTATTGGTGTATATACGCTATTGCATGCAAGGTTTCTGTATATATAACCACTTCATAGGATATTTGGGGTCACAGGTCACTGGCATTGTCATTTTGGGGGTCACAGGCTTAAAAGTTTGGGAACCCCTGGTCTACAGAACAAACCATTGTTATACAATAACTTGCCTAACTACCCTAACCTGCCTAATTAACCTAGTCTAGCCTTTAAATGTCACTTTAGGCTGTTTAGAAGTGTCTTGAAAAAATATCTAGTTAAATATTATTTACTGTCATCATGGCAAAGATAAAACAAATCCGTTATTAAAAATGAGCTATTAAAATTTATACTTGGAAATAAATAAAATAAATTGGGGGAAAAATTGAACAGAGGGGCTAATAATTCTGACTTTAAGTTTAGCAACCACCCACAACACCCTAGCAAGTGCATAACAAATGTCCAGCATCTAGCCAGAACACACTAGTAACCCCATACCAACTGCTTAGCATTTACCAGAACACCCTACATAGCCACCACAAAGCAACTACTTAGCATCTATCCAGAACAGTAACAGCTTAGCATCCATCTATAATATACTAGTAACCACATAGCATCTGCTTAGTATCTACCCAGAAGACCCTAGCAACCACATATAAACTGCTTACCATCTAGCCAGAAGACCCTAGCAACCACATAGAAACTGCTTACCATCTAGCCAGAAGATCCTAGCAACCACATAGCAACCTTCTAGCACCTACCCAATAAGACCCTAGCAACCAGATACCATATAACCAGAACATCATAGCAACCACATAGCAATTCCCTAACATCTGCTCAGAACATCCAAGCAACAACATTGCAACGCTAAGCATCTACCCAGAAGACCCTAGCAACCACATAGCAACTACTTCGCCTCTACCCTGAACATCCGAGCAACTGACTACCTATCATGTACCAGGAACACCTCCTTAGCACACCTTAACTGCAAAGCACTCGCTTAGCATTCACCCAGCAACCAAATAGCATCTACACAGAACACCTTAGCAACCACACCATCTACCCAGAACAAACGAACAACCACCTAGAATCTACCCAGAACACCATTGCAACCACATTGCAACTTCCTAGCATCTAACCAGAACACCCCAGCAACCAGATAGCATCTACCCAGAACACCTTAGCAACCACAAAGCAACTGCCTACCATCTACCCAGAAGACCCTAGCAACCACATAGCAGCTGCTTAGCATCTACCCAGAACACCCTAGCAACTGACTGCCTATAATGCTCTAAGAACAGCTTAAAAAACGCATGGCACCCAGCCTGGCATCTACCAGAAACACACCAGCAACCGCATAGCAACTGCTTAGCATCTACCGAGAACACCCTAGCAACCAGATAGCATCACCACAGAACACCCTAGCAACCACATGGCAACTACTTATCATGTTCTCAGAACACTTCAGCAACTGACTGCCTATTGTGTACCCAGAACACCTTAGCAACTGCATAGCACCAACCTAGCATCTACCCAGAACACCCTAGCAACCACATAGCAATTCCTAGCATCTTCCCAGAACACCCTAGCAAACAGAAAGCATCAATCCAGAACACCTTAGCAACCACATAGTAACAGCTTAGCATCTACACAGAACATCCTAGCAACTGCCTAGCATCTAGCTAGAACACTCCAGTAACCACATAGCAACTGTTTAACATCTACCCTAGCAACCATATTGCAACTTCATTGCATCTACCTAGAACACCGTAGCAACTGACTGCCTAGCTTTTACCCAAACACCCTAACAACCACATAGCAACTTCCAAGCATCTAACTTGAACACCACAGCAACCAGATAGCATCTACCCAGAACACCCTAGCAACCACATAGCAACTGCCAAGCATCTACCCAGAACATGCAAGCAACAACATTGCAACGCTAAGCATCTACCCAGAAGACCCTAGCAACCACATAGCAACTGCTTTGCCTCTACCCAGAACACCCTAGCAACCACATAGTAACTTACTAGCATCTGTTTTAAACACCACAGCAACCAGATAGCATCTACCCAGAATACCCTAGCAACCGCTTACCATCTACCCGGAACACCTTAGCAACCACATAACAACTTCATAGCATCCACCCAAAAGATCCTAGCAACCAGATAGCATACGTACATACCCAGAATACCTTAGCAAGTACATTCCAACTGCATAACATCTACCTAGAACACCCGAGCAACGGCCTACCTACAGTACCAGGAACACCCAAGCAACCACATAGCCCCAGCCTAGCATCTACCCAGAACACCCTAGCAACCACATAGCAACTTCCTAGCATCTATCCAGAACACCATAGCAACTTTCCAGCATCTACCTTGAACACCACAGCAACCAGAAAGAATCTATCCAGAAGACCCTAGCAACCACATAGCAACTGCCTAGCATCTACCCAAAAGACCCTAGCAACCACATAGCAACTGCTTACCATCTACTCAGAAGACCCTAGCAACCACATAGCAACTGCTTACCATCTACTCAGAGGACCCTAGCAACCACATAGCAACTTCATATCATCTACCCAGAAGATTCCAGCAACCAGATAGCATTAGTATATACCCAGAATACCTTGGCAACCACATTACAGCTGTGTAACATCTACCCAGAACATCCTAGCAACAGCATAGTGACACACTGACGCCACACTGGTCTTTGTGATCTGCTCATGTTAGCAGGAGCTCTTGAGGAACATCGGATCTCCATAAGCTGAGTTATGTAGGTCAGCTCACACACCGGCGTGCTCAACCTCCTGATGGAGTGGAGAATAAGAGTACAGTGCAGACACAGATCTAAATATAGAGCACTAAAGCCACGCGGGTTACATAAATTAGCCATACAGAAGTGACTGAGAGCGTGTGTTTGTGACATGTAGAGGAAAAGAAGACTTGCCTGTAGAGTCTGTCAGCGTCCGAGGAGGAAGCGGCTCTGTGCGGGTGACAAACGACACATTCAGACACTGACATTATTCATAAATACTTTGGACTGGATTTGTGCTTTATTTAGGCTCACGTGTGGAAGGAACAATCTCAAGGAAGCTGTTGTGAATTTTAAAGGCGATTTCACCATAAAGTGAAAAGAAATGAAAAGGAAATTATTATTGGGCTGAAGAAAACTACAACTATTACTATTATAATTATTATTATTATTTGGTGATGATAGTAGTGAAGCGTGGTAGTGATTTTTCACTTGTATTGACATTATTAATAATGTTAAAAACATATTTTTAAAATAGAAAAGTAGACAGCAATGATAGATAATTCAGCAATGATTCGATATTCATTTTTAAATATAAAATATAGAGCTAATTCGTTTTTATTTTTGTGATTTTTGTCATGGATATTTTATATTGGAAATTTTATTTTAATTTATATTCATCCCAATTCAGTAATAATTTACTGTGATATATATATATATATATAGATATAGATATAGATATATATACATACATATAAGACGTCAATGTGACCAAACTTTTTCTCTTATAGGTAAGTTAGGATTATCAAATTTGTTTCTGTTATGCTTAATAGCAGAATAATGAGAGAGATATTTTTTTGAGAAATTGTTATGACTTTTCTTCAAATTCAAGTTTACATACAACAAGATTATTCTGCCTCTGAAAAAGCTCAGATGATGCTGTCAAGGTTTTAAAAGTTTCTGAGTGGCTAATTGACAACATTTGAGTTAATTGGAGGCACAACTGTATAATAGTATTTAAGAAAAAACCTCAAACATCCTTTTGTGACAACATGGGAAAATCAACAAGCCAGAATCAACAACAACAAAAAAAGGCAGATTACAGTTTGGTAAACTACACTGGAAAAAATAATAATTTTTGAAGACATGTCCTGTGGTCTGATGGACTAAGATTGAATTGTTTGGCCATAATGACCAGTGTTACATTTGGAGGACAAAGGGGAAAGCTTACAAGCCTAGGAACACCATCCCAATAGTGAAGTATGGGGATTTCAGCATCATGTTGTGGGGCTGTTTTGCTGCAAAAGGGACTGGCTCACTTCACACGATAGATGGCATCATGACGAAAGAACGTTATGTAGAAAAACTGAAGAAACATCTCAAGACATCAGTCAGGAAATTAAAACTTGGCCACAAATGGGTTTTCCAATAAAACCATGACACTAAGCATAGTCAAATTAGTTAAAATGTGCTTTAAGGACAACAAAGTGAATGTTTTGGAGAGGCCATCAAAAAGCCCTGATCTCAATCCTATGGAAAATTTGTGGGCATAGTTAAAAAGGCTTGTGTGAGCAAGACTGAAAAAATTCCTTCAAACTATTGTGAGAAGCTTGTGAAGGATACCCAAAATAGTTGACTAAAGTTATACAGTTCAAAAGAAAGCTAAAAAAAAAAAAAAACAAGGAAATGTATGTAAACTTTTGACTTTCTAGAAATTAATAAAAATTCTCAAACAAATTCTCTCATTATTCCGGCATTTAGCAAATGTAAATGATTTAGGTAATCCTAATGGACCTAAAATAGTAAACGTTTAGTATGATTTACCATCAGACGTTTAAAAAAAAGGTTATGTTCCTTTTTTAGAGTGTATGTAAACTTCTGGTTTCAACTGTATACATACACACAGTTGAAGTCAGAATTATTAGCCCCCCGAATTGTTTATATTTCCCCCTTTTTTGGTTAACCGAGAGAAGGTTTTTTTTTTTTCAACACATTTCAGTTTTAGTAACTCGTTTCTAATAACTGATTTATTTTATCTTTGCCATGATGACAGTAAATATAATTTAACTAGATATTTTTCAAGACACTTCTATACAGCTTACCGTATCATTCAAAAGCTTAACTAGGTAATTAGGTTAAATAGGCAGGCTAGGGTAATTAGGCAAGTTATTGTATAATGATGGCCTGTTTTGTAGACTATCGAAAAAAATAGCTTAAAGGGGCTAAACATTTTGACCTTAAAAATTTTTTATTAAAAAATTAAAAACTGCTTTTATTCTAGCTGAAATAAAACAAATGACACTTTCTCCAAAATAAAAAATATTATCAGACATACTGTGAAAATTTCCTTGCTGTTAAACATCGTTTAGGAAATATTTAAAAAAGCAAAAAAAAATTCAAAGGGGGTTTAATAATTCTGACCTCAACTGTGTGTGTGTGTGTGTGTGTGTGTGTGTGTGTGTGTGTGTGTGTGTGTGCGCGTGTGTGTGTGTGTGTGTGTTTATATATATATAAACGTATAAACCTAAGAAATGTATATCTGCAAAACAAATCTAATTAGTTTACAAATTAAGTTATGTGTAATAAAATTAAATGACTCAGGGACAAAGTATTGAAAACATGAAGATGAGGAGGTGTAGAAAGGCAGTGAAAGCCCAGATAGCAGCTGAGGTGAAATCTCTCAGTAGTTCTTCAGCAACCCTCTGCCCTTCCTCAGTGTAAACAAATATTCGCTGCTTCAGTACAACATCTACATTAGCAGGATGATGAAGATCAAACCAGAGTGGGCATTTCAGCGAGACAATGATCCAAAACATAGCCAGGGAAACTCTCAAATAGTTTCTAAAAAGTTTTGACTATTTTTATAGGCTTTTTTGGTGATGGCAGTTTAAAGACGGCTCTCATATGGAGAATGAAGTCACATGAAATGCTCAGGTGTGAGTTTTTCACAGACTTCAACAGAGTGTAAAAATCTTGTGGGTCTCTATCCCAATTGATCTTTATTTTGTATTCTCTATTGGATTCAAGTCAGGTGATTGGCTGGGCCATTCTATAGCTTGATTTTCTTTGAAAGCATTTGGGAGTTTTCTTGGCTGTGTTTTGGATCATTGTCTTGCTGAAATGTCCACTCTGGTTTGATCTTCATCATCCTGATTATGTAGATGTTGGACTGAAGCGGCGAATATTATTGTACAATGACGAAGGGCAGAGAAATGCTGAAGAACTACTGAGAGATTTCAGCTGCTGTCTGGGCTTTCACTGCCTTACTACACCTTCCTTTCCTCGTGTTCAATACTTTTTTTTCCTGTGTCATTTAATTTTATTACATATAACTTAGTTGTAAATTAATTAATATTGTTTTCTGTTCATACAGTATATCTATTTATTTGGTTATCATCATCTGGTGAAAATTTTAAGTCATCAGCACCTTTAGAAATATGCTTTTTTATGTTTACTGTTGACAACTTGAATACTAATGTATATTATAATATACATCTATAATAACTAAAAGAATTTTGTCTTTAAATAAAATCAGTTCATGCAGTAATGAAACACTCTTTATTATATTAAATATATTAATATAAAACATTATTAAATAATAAAACCAGTACACATTCACACATTTTTTTATTATAAGTAATATAGCCATTATACTATATTTTCAGTGTTTTCATGACTTTGGGAACCCACTTATATTTATATTATATTATATAGACTAAATAATTATTTTATACCAGTACCGGTAATTCGAATTTGCTAATAAAAATAGTAATTATATTATATTATATTATATTATATTATATTATATTATATTATATTATATTATATTATATTATATCATATTATATCATATTATATTATATTAGTAAACTAAGAATTGAAACAATTTTATTTTTAGAAATCGCTCACCAAAAACTCTGACTTACGTCTGCTTTCATATATAGCCCGTGACTTCTCATAGAGGTCATAGGGGTCCGGCTTGCCTAAGTGGAAAGCCTCTGAATCTGGAACAGAGGAGCGATGAAGCGTCTGTGCAGGATGTGGAGCACCATGAGGAAGCAAAGTAGCCGATAAACCAGTCTGAGGACTTCCTTGAGGATCCCACTGCAATAAAAAATAGACCAGTTTGAGCAGACACATACAATTGCTAAGAAAAATAAACTAATCAAATCTTTCTATGTTTAAGCCCTATAATTGTAATTGTATAATTGTCCAGTGCATTAGCAAAGGTGAAAAAGAACAGCCCGGTATCTTTTTTTTGTTAAGATTTTCCCTGCAAGCATGTGAAAAAATACACTCTTCATATTTTGCTCCCCTAGTGATGTAGAAAGAGGATCTTATTATAATTTTACTTTTACTTATTTACCAAAAATAGTGTTTTCAAAATCAAGCGTAAGAGAAAAGTGCACTTGTGACCAGTGTTGGGTAATAACGTGTTCTTAGTAATGCGTTACTGTAACGGCATTACTTTTGACAGTAACTAATACTGTAACGTATTACTTTTTAAATATACTAACTCTGTTATCATTACGATATGATGTGTTTGTCTGTTACTTGGTAAGTTCATTCATTTTGACTGCAGTCTAGGCTACATTTTCCTGTTTACAGCTGCGAGGCATTGTGGTATTGGTGGATGCCAACTAACCACTGTAAAGAAGACGCGTCGCGAAAGAGGCACCAGACTGGACGAGAGAAACTAGGAGCGCAAGACAGGCTAAGGGCATACTCACAATATGTACAGTTGCCTTGAACTGGGCCAAAGCACGCTTGTACCCCCTCCCGTCTCCCCCGAAGATATGCAATGACACAGTCAAATATTTTGCTGAACAGATCAGCCACTTTTGACGCTCATAAACAATCATAAAGTTCTCATGCTGCAGGAATTATGAGGTTTGCCGAAGGTGCAGCTGTCGTACAGTGAGGAGTTTGCATATTTAATAAACTACGACAGTTTGCGTTCATTAAACAGTAAGAATGATTAAGAAATCCATATAAAACAGTGCCTTAAAAGTCACTTCTCGCTTTCAGTTTCGGGCTCAGGTATGTTTTGCACTCACACACAAGCATACCACGCCAAAGCCCAAGTGAACTGCGGACCAGGACCAGGGCCAGCCTAATGAACCGTGCCTGAGCCCGATTCAAAGCATTCACACTTCTCAAACGACCCTGGAAACAGGCCTGGGTTCGGATAGCATAGTGTGAGTACTCCCTAAGTGTATTAGCGGGAGAGAGAGAGTAATAATATTATGTTTGTAGTTTCAAATAAATAATCACACATTTGTTGTCTGTATAACAAAATTGATTGGTTTAGTAGACACAGACACACATTTCTGTAATATTTAAGAACACGTTATGTAAATGTATAGCGTTGTATTGCGAAAGAAAAATGCAGTGATTTATTTTTTATTGTAAAACATATTTTTATAGCTGTTATATTGTACAACAGCAGATTTTGCACTTTGAATATACACAGCTTACTTTCCATTAGCTGTTGACATGCCACATTTAATTTGTGGTTAGTTTGAAAACTGCTCAGATTTCATTTTTGAGCAGCTGTTATTATTATTATTTTTATTAAAATGCATAAAATGTATGGTTGTCTATAATAGCAGTTTATTTGGTGCTGAGTTTCATCAACTTAATTCTGAATGATCATTCAGATTACTTTTATTTATTTATTTCACAAGGATTTTGTGTTTGTTGTATATTGTCGCTATTTTCTTACTCAAGAACATGTTTAAGGGTTAATTACAACAACTTTTATGACGTTGAAATAACTTTAGTTTTTTTTGTGTTAATATATTATTCAGCTGGTTCACAACCTTGTGATATTATTTTATTTTTGTGCTGCTGGTTTGACTTAAATTAATTACAGTTTAAAAATGACTTTTTTGGTTAAGTCTTTCTTGTGTTTTAGCTGTGAGAATGCAAATGAATTAAAACTGTGAAGTTGATCAACAGTGTATTTTCCATGCAGCACTGAAGTGACATTATAACGGCATTAATGCGAGCATTAAAAATGACTTTTAACAGATAACACATTACATTTTGGTTTAAGTAATCGATAAAGTAATTTAGTTACTTTTTGAATGAAGTAATTAGTAACTGTAACTAGTTACTATTTTTCAATAACCAGCACAACACTAATGGTGACAGTTTTCTTCTGGTTTTACATTGCTTTTATCTTATTTGTGGAACCATGCTTCGTCATACTTGAACCAAACGGCTCTGTGTTGCAAGTATTACACTGTACAAAGTAAGTAACTGAACCAACTGATTACATCAGAAAAGTTGTCCGAAGTGAAATAGATAGGCGATGTGACCATATTTGATTAAAAGTCAGATAATAATCAAAAGACACAAAATAGTTGCAAATAGAATCTTTAAGCTGTTTGGTTTTTTGCAAAGAACTGTTCAAAAAGAATCATTTCTTATGTCTTGTATATATTATTAATGTAAAAAGGAACAATTTTTTTTTGTGTCATACTGCTTCATAGCCTTCATTTTTACCAAAATATTGTCAGTCAAACATAAGTTTAAGTGAATTTTTACATGTGGACTGAAGGATATATGCCTAATGAGCCCTGGTTGTTCTTAACATGCTATACATAATCAGAGAGCTCTTAATGTTTATCCCGATGTACATGTATCCCAATGTACATAAAGGCATATTTATTATGCACTAAATAGACACGGAACAGACTTTTACGATTTCTGCGATGATATATGAGATCTGTATTAATAACGTAATGTTTTTTTTGCAAAGACAGCACAACAACTAAATATATTAATCAAATAACCATTTAGAAACATTGTGGTGCATCTAGAGGTTGTAATCTCTTCTTCTCAATCATTGTCTGAGTGTAGTTTGAACATGTAAAGCTTTAAAACTGATCTTGGATTCGCTTGTTTTGTTGTTTCTGTCAGAGTAGTTTGCAAAGCCTCCACCCTCTTCTGAAAAGCAGCAGCCTATTTGCATTTAAAGAGACACACACACACACATACAAAACTGCCTACTTTTACTTAAATTCGACAAGCTATTAGAAATGATATTTGACGTATTTCGGTCTGAATCATTCTGAGAACACCAGAGACTTATTTTACATCTTGAAAAAAGAGGCACAATAATATGCCCCCTTTAAGAGTTCAAGCAGGGAACACGAGGTGTGTGATAAAGGTGACCCTGCCGTTCCTCCTGTCCTCTTTCAGTTTAGCGGTCTCTGGAGGCTCAGCGGGGGAGATGAATTAAGCCCTAAGTGAGGGACTAAAGTGTGAAGCCGAGTATCCGTGCTTGAGTCCTGCGCCCCGGAGGCTAATGGATCCTATTTCCTGCGAGCTGCTCATTTCACCTGCAGCTTTCACCGCTTAACCTGCCAATTCCATTACGAGGGCCTGAATCCTGCCGAACTGGACGACGTCCTGAAAATGATGGATCTCATACTGGGATGAAAGTGAACTCGCATGAAATGAGAACACGTGGACATTTCTAGGAATCCCTGCTAAATTAATCGGTGTGTTGTTTTACAGCGCTTTAGAGAAAGTGAACCTGAGATCTGTAGTCTATTAGGTTGGCAAACAACATTTGTGGACATGAAATAGAATTATGGCATGTAATGCTGAGGGAAAATATATACACCAGAAAAATAAGAAGACCAACTTGGGGATTGTGAGAGAAGTAGTCTAGATGTTTTACATACTATCGAAATAACTAACTAGATGTCTTTTATTGGGTACACCTTGGTGTTACTGGGTTAAACCCCCTTTTGCCTTCAGAACTTATCCTTTGTGGCAGAGATTCAACAAGGTACTGGAAACATTCCTCAGAGATTTTGGTCCTTATTGACATGATAGCTTCACGCAGTTACTGCAGATTTGCCGATTCCATATTCATGATGTGAATCTCCTGTTTCAGATCTAAAAGGTGCTCTATTGGATTGAAATCTAGTGACTGTGGAGGCCATTTGAGTACAGTGAACTCATTTACATGTTCCAGAAACCATTCTGAGATGATTCACGCTTCATGACATGGTGCGTTTTGCTGCTATAAAAAGCCATCAGAAGTTGGGTACACTGTGGTCATAAGGGGATGGATATGATCAGTAACAATACTCTGCTGTGGCATTGACACAATGCTCAATCGGTACTAATGGTACTAATGGGGCCAAAGTGTGCATACAAATATCCTCCATACCATTACATTACCACCAGCAGCCTGAACTGTTGATACAAGGCAGGAAGGATCCATGCTTTCATGTTATTTATGCCAAATTCTGACGCTGCCATGCAAATGTCGTAGCAGAAATCGAGACTCAGACTAGGCAACGTTTTTCCAATATTCAATTGTCCAATTTTGGTGAGCCTGTGCGAATTGTACTCTCAGTTTCCTGTTCTTAGCTGACAAGAGTGGCAACAGGTGTGGTAGCCCATACACATACAGGGTGGGCCATTTATATGGATACACCTTAATAAAATGGGAATGGTTTGTGATATTAACATCCTGCTTGTGACACATTAGTATATGTGAGGGGGCAAAGTTTTCACGATGGGAGGTGACCATAATGGCCATTTTGAAGTTGGCCATCTTGGATCCAACTTTAGATTTTTCAATAGGAAGAGGTTCTTTGATCAAACTTATTGGGGATTTCACAAGAAAAGCAATGGTGTGCTTAGTTTTAACGTAACTTTATTCTTTCATGAGTTATTTACAAGTTTCTGACCACTTATGAAATATGTTCAATGTGCTTCATGTTTCACGCTATGTATATTTTGAAGTCAGGTATACATATGCGTATCATTTATGAATTGACTGAATGAATTGGCATAATACACATTTACCTGGCTAATAAATTGTTATGTTTTGAATTATTCAAACAGAGTTTGTGTTATTATCCCTGGTAGATTACGTTAAGTCCATAGCACCACAAGCCCCTGTACAGGTTAGTAACGGACTAAAACATGGTAGATGGAGCAGCGTGACACTTTATACGATGTTCTGTCCGACTAATACATTGGCATTAATTCATAAAAACTTGACTGTAAAAAGTCATCTAAGGGGATAGACCTTCATCTTTTAAACTTATGATACTATTTGGATAGTATAGTGATTACTCAAAGTTAATAATGGTTTAAGTATGACTGGTCTGCTTAATTCTATAGTAATGATCATTATATGACTATATACAGTAGCTCTGTTTGATTTAGTAGATAGCAGCTCCATGGGGACCGCATAAAAAATATCCTAATCTGAGTAAGTAGGGTTCTGCCTTTTTAGGATAGCGGTCAATTGCCACTGTTAAGTGACCAAGACTGACATGCTTGTGCTTAAGAGATTGTATACTCGGCCAGTACTCAGGATGTTATAGGAATCCGAATGAATGAGAATAACATACAATAATGAATCTGAGAGAATATTCAATCATAATCTAAAGTAATGTTAAAGGAAACAAAATAACTTTATCAGTGTTTTATAAATGGAGTCAGATAAAACAATGATAAATATATTCATATTCTAAACCACCTCATACTAAAATTGGAGTCAGATACGAGTTAAATTTAAAGTAAATCAACATTGTGCACTGGAAAGACAGAACATGCAGTAAACCTTCATCCATTAGTAGACACTGTCATTGGACTAACTGGTTGGACCCTACACTATTATAATAGTTTATTATTTTGTACTCACTGGAAACTCACACATACACAGAGCAGAAATATAAATTAAAAAAATTTAGGCAAACTGCAGATTTTCATGGCCAGTTTGTATAAAATATTTTCAAATGAAACATTCTCTAATAAAGTGATTAATTATGAGATAAAATGAACAAAATTTCCGCAAATTTGTAGTGATATATAGACGAAATACTAAAGACAGAATTGTCATATTAGCAAGATCTCTCTCTCTCAAAAATATGTAAAACTTCAAATTAATCCCTTTGAATCTGTGGGTCTCGGGGACAGGGGAGGAGGAATATCAATGGAGGATCACCTTCATAATCTTTGCTGGGAATAGTTTCTCTTCTTGATAAACACATTCCAGCGTGCTCCTTTGCACGCACACGTATTAAAGAGGCGCACTTTGCTGTCAGTTAAACCGTTTTGTTTGCTAATGCTGCAGTACAAGAGGAATACTGATGAAGCGCCACCCATGGAGACTGCGTTAATGCATCTGTCACCCGGGACATTTCCATGTCGGGTTTCATCAGAGTGTGATCCAGCGCCGCGCTGAACACGTGCTGAGACTAAGAACTCGTGGCTGCGGTTTGTCTTCAGCAGCGGTCAGAGATTGATGCTGCAGTCGCTCTGAGCTGCCAAGGGATTTCGGCCATCAGACGCTGGTTCAAGATCAGCTCTGAAGGCCAGTGGATAGATAGAGGCGTGCAGGTGGGAAAATATTCTTACATCATGTAGAAAAACAATCCATGATCTGATCTTTGGCCAACCAATTCTAACGTAGAAAAACAATAGTCAAAAGGTCTGAAATGACATACTAATCAAGTAGGTACTACATTTGAGTTTGAATGTACATTAAGATCATTTGTAATGTACATTGTTTTAGTATGAACGTTGGTGGTACAAATAGAATTTGGATGTACGACATTCGCCATGTTTTCGTTATCACATGACCAGTTTGTGTCAGTTGAATTCCTTTACTCCCATTCATAAATTCTCTCTCTTGTGACCTTAAGGGTTAGTAAATTAGTATGTCCAAATTCATAGTAATTGAAAAAAACAGTAGGCAAGCAGGTACCCAGATGTTGTGCTACCAACATGTGCTACCAACAAGGTCATGGTTAGGCATTGCGGTAGGTGAGGTGATATTACAACTTTCCAATTTTCTATTTTCCAAAACGCCAAGCTGTGGAATGTGCCTCTATAGAACATAATAGATAAATATGTAACACTCCGTGGTGCTGTCTGCCAGATGTTAATGAAGTTGCTCTTCTATCTCAGGCCCCATTTACACTAATACGTTTTAGTTTTAAAATGGCGTTTTAGAACGAAACCAATCCACAGTTCAGCGTTTTGGAACCGATCTCTGTCCACACTACGCCGCTGAAAATGCACATCACGTGACCACACACACACTTTTTCATGTGCTGCAGTGTATGCGGACATCTGAGCTCCAGACAGTCAGCGGGTGCTTTGAGCACAGCTCTCCAGAAAAGAGCAGCGCACATCGGACAGTTCATCAAGGATATACCGCTGGATTTCATCTCACTATAGTTCTTAAATGTGATATTCAATATATCTTGTCTTTATTTAATGACCCTTTGGTCTTTTGGATTTATTACTTACTCTCAGGTAACGTGTTTTGGCTAAGCGGAAAGATAAGTCATTATATTAATTTATGTAACCACATACACTGATTCTGCACATCTGACTTGACTGATTGCCTTTACTTCCTATATTGTATAAGCGTATTGTAAGTTATACTTTTAAGGGCCATTATTGATTATTAAATCTGATATTCAGCAAAAGAGAGGGTGTGTTTATTATTTTTCAGTAAAAATGAAAGGAGGCAGTAATGTTATAGGCTCCGTTTTGTTATAAATACACAAACAGTGAAGATGACGCTCATATAAATATATAGTTTTGTGATGCCTCAACAGGTTTGGTGTCTTTAAAGTTGTTAGGCTGTTCCTTATGTCCTGTATTCATTTTATTGTTAAGAACGTGAAACAATGTAGCCTGGGTGAAGTGAATGAGGTTGTAAAGTACACTGTTCCCTTAAAAGATTTACCCGATGTGTCCTCGGGAGTTTGTTTTCCATGTCAATCTTGCGAAGTCTGAACTTAAGGAGAGGATGCAAGACTAAAATTTGTGCACTTAATACTACGGAAAAAGCTCCATAACTGCAGCTACGCCTCCTTTTCAGATGTCTTAGATGTCTTCAGATGTTTTCCCCCATCCACACTGACATGGAGCAGCAGCGTTTTTAAAGCAAAATGGCCTCTTCAGCATTTTCAACACGCTCTGTTTTCGGGCCTCTAAAACTACAGGGTAGTGCGGACAGAAGGCGTAATCGTAGCAAAACTTATGCACTTTAAAACTAAAATGTATTAGTGTAAACGGGGCCTCAGCCACCATCAATATTGTGTTTAAGGGTATGTGTGACACATTTACAACCCCACTTACTGCAGGAAGGGGGTGTTGGAGTGTTTAAAATCTGAATACCATAAGAGTCCGTTCGCATATTGTTTTTGTTTTTTTCGCATACAAGTTTGTTATTTTCAGAGTCTCGCGACTTGCACTCGCAAACATGCACAGACGCTCACATGGTTGACAAGAGGCGAGTGTGGTATGACACACTTGCTTTCCAGGCACATCATCTTAGAAACATCTCAACTTTTCAGAATGTCACAAGTGCACTGAGAGTCATGTGATCAGAACTAACTAATCAGCTTCTAACATTGTATGGAATACACACATTTCGGTAACAACGGTAAACTAATTACCTCAGACAAACACAGCGCACCTAAACACTGCAGTGCTTTTAAATGTTCTCCATAAATAAAACTAGTTTCAGAGCTGCAGCAATGGTTTGACAGTCTGTAATCCTCTGCAAGAACAGTTGATGGTTGCCTAGCAAAGACAGATGCCACAGGATGGAAAATGGAGAAGATAAAGGTGCACTTTGCACTTTCCACACACTTTTTGATATGACATGTGAACAGCCACTAACATAGCTATTTAAAAAAAAATTTTGCCCTCAAATGAAAAATGAAAAAGATCTTTGAAATATACAGTTGCTTTCATATCCCCACCTCCCATGCCAGAATAACCAGTCCTCACCCCACTCTGTGCCTGCAAGTGAGTCAGACCTCAGCAGTTACATTGGTGCCGTGACCCGGAAAGAAGTAAGGTAAGCTAGTGCAATGGAGGCCAGTAAGTAAGTGCTGTGTAGGTAAACTTCACTCCCCCGAGCATCTCGAGGTGCGTTAGTGACACTAGGCACTAGAGGCTACGTTCTGTAGCCTCCTCGTTAGAGTGTTCACCTCCCATGCCAGAATCACCAGTTTGAGCCGTGTTTGAACGTTGTCAGAACATAGGGGTTACACAAGTGGCTGATAAACTGTCTTTAATTCCCACAACAGGAAAAAGCGAATTAACTTTATTTTTAAGTTCCAAATTAGGGGTTCTCAAACTTGGCCCTGAAGGGGCACTGACCTGCAAAGTGTAGTTCCAACCCTAATCAGAGCCACCTGGGCAAGCTAATCAAGCTCTAACTAGACACATCCTAGCAGGTGTGTTGAGGCAAGTTGGAGCTAAAATCTGCAGTACACCGGTCCTCCAGGACCGAGCTTGAGAACCCCTGTCCTACACCATGTCAGTAAGAACTTGGTCCCCTTTCAGTTTAGTTTTAACCTCAGATTTACTGACAACAAACCTAATCCCACACTGAATTTACAGAAAGATTGCAAAAACTTGATTTCTGTGCTGATTATATTGGATCTAACAGTAATTTGTTATTATTTCTTTTTCAGTATTGCTTTATCTGTTATTACAAATTGTTTGATATGAACTCAACATTTCTGCAGACCAAAGTCGTGAACGATTGTGCAGTAGTTTCAATTATCTACTAATTTCCTCCAAATTTTCCTCCAAAAATTCCCATCGATACGTTTGAGGTTGGTAAGTGGCACCTCATGGTACAATAAAGCAATTGTATGAATTTTAATAGTACAATTTGATTATGGCCTACAGATCCACTTAAAGGTGGAAATTCATGCTTTGTATTTTTTTCATCCCTTGTTAACATATAAATCAAGTTGCAGAAATTCATATACAATTCCTACATGATAAAAATTGTTACACTTTGTCATTCAAACATGTTGACTGAAATCTTGAGTTCACACCATGTCAAAGTTACCATAATTTTAAGATGTCATATAAAATGTTAAAAGAAGATGTTAAAAACAGACAGTATATTAATAAATGAAGTACTTCAAATCATTTTACCTGTTTTGCTGGATCCCAGGCTGTAAAGAGGCCTAACAAAGAGAGACAAAGAAAAAAAGATTAACATTATTGGGTAACGAGTTTCATAATAGTCACATCCTATTTGTTCATGTTTATCTGGTTGTGGTATAGGCTCTGAAGTGAGGAAAGTTTATTGAATTTATTTGTGGGGTAATTACATCATTAGCTTTGAGCTGAGGTCAAACTCATCTTCAAACAAAAGGAGTAACACGAGGCCCTGCCAAACTGTATTCAGTACCATAAAAGAGACAACAAACATAAAACTACATTTTTACAACTCGAAGGCACTTTTAAACAATCATAAAATAGGAGTAGACAGTCTTTTTTATATTCTTTTAATGTTTATGCTGCTTTTATATCTGTAGCGTACTACAAAGAACATTTTCACCAAAATTGTCATCTTCAATATAGTAACAACTTTTTATTAATAGGTGTAGTGCATATTTAAAAAAATTAATTAGATTTATTTATTCATTTTCATCCACTTTTGTGAAGCCGGTTCACGGGGGCAGCAGTCTTAGGAGAGAACCCCTAAAGCTTCCTACTCCCTTGACACTTCCTCCAACTCCTCCAGGATCCCGAGGTGTTCCCAGGCCACCCGAGAGACATAGTCCCAGCAGCATGTCCTGGGTCTTCCCCAAGGCCTCCTCCCGGTGGGACATGCCTGGAACACCTTCTTAGGTAGACATCCAGGAGGCATCCAAAACAGATGCCCGAGCCACCTCAGCTGACTTCTCTCGATGTGGAGAAGCAGCGGCTCTACTCCTCACCCTATCCTGCCAAGGAAACTCAGTTCGGCCGCTTGTATCCAAGATCTTGTCCTTTCAGTCAAGACCCAAAGCTCATGACTATAGATAAGAGTAGGAACATAGATTGACCAGTAAATCAAGAGTTTTGTCTTCCGTCTCAGCTCCTTCTTTACCGCAATGTACCGGTACATCAACCGAATTTCTGCTGCCGCTGCTGATCCGCCTGTCAATCTCACATTTCATCCTTCCCTTACTCGTGAACGAAACCACAAGATACACGAAGAACAAGAAACAGGATACAAGAAACTCCTCCACCTGGGGTAAGGACTTTCCTCCAACCTGGTGATGGCAAGCCACCTTTTTCCGGTGGAGCACCATGACCTTGAACTTGGAGGTGTTGATTCTCATCCCAGCCGCGTCACACTCAGCACCAAACTGGCAGTGCATGCTAAAGGTCCATGTTGGATGAAGCCAACAGAACATCATTGTCTGCAAATAACAGAGATGAAATCCTGTGGTCCCGAAACCAGAGCCCCTCCAGTTTAAATTAGATATTTAAATGAATTAGATAATAATCTCAATTCTCTGCCATCTTTTTTTTAAAAATATGTATTTCCAATTAGTGTAGTAGTTAAGATTCGTGACAATATTTTTAAATTAAATAATGTTTAAATATTTATTTTGCTCAATTTAGGAAACACACAGGTTTACATAGGTCCTCCATCCTTTCTCCAATTTTTAAAAACCACTGTCTAAACCTATGTCAATCTAATACGGATGCACCTTTCAGAATGTGGTTTGATAAGGACATAAAAACAATTGATGACCTCTATGAGAGTGGCATTTTCTCATCCTTTAATAACCTGTCTAAAAGATTTGAACTACCTAATTCACACTTATTTTGTTTTTTTTTCAAATCAGACACTTTGTGCAAAAACTGTTCCCTCATTTTCCAAATCAACCTCCTGAATCTCCATTAGATTATTTATTAAAGCTTGAACCACACTCAAAACATTGCATTTCTACCATTTATAACCTGAATCACAATATCAATCCAAGCTCTGCAAATCAAGCAAGAGGTGCTTGGGAAGAGAACTTAGGTTTTGAGTTCTCTGATGAACACTGGGAGCATATTCTTGAGCTCACACATACCTCTTCTATATGTGCAAGACATGGGCTTATACAATGTAAGATTCTACACAGGGTCTACTACACTAACGCTAGACTTGCTAAAATATACCCCTCTCTCAGCGATGCATGTAATAGGTGCAAACATTCACCAGCAGATCTCATCCATATGTTGTGGGAATGCCCTAAATTATTTGATTATTGGACTAAAATATTTAAAACTCTGCAAGATGCATTCAACATAGATCTGGATACAAATCAACTCTTGGCCATTTTTGAGTTGGCAGTAGATACCAACCTTTCAGTAATGGTCCAGAAGGCTTTAGCTTTTACTACTTTAATAGCGAGACGTCTCATCCTTTTAAAGTGGAAATATGCCTCTCCCCCATCTTTTGATGAACGGATAAATAAAGTGTTTACTAATATTAAATTGGAAAAGATTAGACTATCACTTACTGGTTCTTTAAGGACCTTTGACAAGTTGTGGTGCCCCTTTTTAGATTATCTACTGGATTATCTATTTATTTTCATCTTATTTATTTTTATTTATTTATTTTTAATTATTATTATTATTATTTGTTTTTATTTATTTATTGTTATTATTATTTATTTATTATTACTTTTTTTTCTTTCTCAATGGAAAGTTAGAGGCTTTTGAGGGAGGGAAATGTTCAATCGGGGTTGGGGTAGGGTAAACATTAACATGGAAGGATAATTATAAAATGACCATGTTATGGTTGATATTCCATATAAAAAAAACCTAATAAAATAAATTTGAAATAAATATTTATTTTGATTCTGCATATTATTAAAGTTTAGATCAAGTGTAAGTAACTTCTAAATTGACAAATTTCACTTCTCATATTGTGCAAAAAATTTCCATAATACTATTTTTCTGTATTATGTTGTCCATATAATAAAATGGATGATGTGCATGTATGAAATGGCTGGGATATTAAAAAGTTTTTTTTTAAGATTCATCTGCAATCTAATTAAACCATGACTAGAGGAGCTGTGAGAATAATGAGTTATGACTTTTCATTTCTTGGTCTCATACCTGATTCTTTCAATCACCTGCACTATATTCAGTCTTTGCTACAGGGTATGCATAAAAACAGGGTTGAAGCACATTTTTAAAAGTCAAATTTAAGGCTTTTAAGACTGGTTTATAACCTGAAGAAATAAAAATTAATACAGCATGCTAGGTGTGTGCAATATTGGCAAACAAACGATACCTCAATACTTTCAGGGATTATTTCAGATTTGATAGATTCATAGGCTAATATCGGCATCCTTAAATACCTTTCAAGGATCATTTTCACCTACATACAATTATGCTCAGACAAGTCCTGAATGCATTTACAATTTGACCGATATTGATAATACTTTTTATTTTATTTATTTCTTATTAGAAGGTATTAAATATTAAACTAAAACCATCAGACATGGTGATGATAATGAGTGAGTTGATTCATTCACAAATGAAGCAAAATTGATTCATTAAACTAATTCACTCACACAGTTATTCAAATTCCACTCATAGGTTTAACTGAACTAAAGGAATTTTGTTGGTGCCGTGACCCGGATGAAACTAAGGAGTGATTAATATAACAAAGGAAGACTAATAAGAGCTGAGCAAGCAAAACTAACTTCCCTATTATCAAAAGTAATACTAATGACAGATGCTGGAGGCTGTGGTCTTTAATGTCTTTGTTACTGTGCCCACCTTCAATGTGAAAAAACATCCTACTGGTTTTAGATCACATAGAATAAGATGGGTTGCCTTGGTGCCATGAACCGGATGAGAGTGAGGTTTAGGTGGGTGACTATTGGACTTGACTTGACTAGAGGATGCTGTCTTTAGCCTGTTTGCAGGTTGCCTTGTTAGTGTGCCCTCCTTCCATACTGAAATCATTGTGAGAATCCCACTCATATCAGGTCAAGTACAACCAGAGGGGTTAAATTGGTGCCGTGACCTGGATATGAAAAAGGTTTAGGGGGGTAAGTGTAATGGACTTGAATAGAGACTGCTGTTTTTTTACATCCTTGCTAGTGCACTATTTAAAATCCTTGTTAGTGTGCCCTCCTTCCATGTTGAAATCTTTGTTGGAATCCCACTCATATCAGGTAAATTACAACCAGAGTTGTTAAATTGGTGCCATGACCCAGATACGAATGAGGTTTAGGGGGTAAGTGTAATGGACTTGACTTGAGACTGCTGTCTTTAACATCCTTGCTGGTGCACTTTTTAGAATCCTTGTTAGTATGCCCTCTTTCCATGTTGAAAACTTTGTTGGATTTCCACTCATATCAGGTAAACTACAACCAGAGTTGTAAAATTGGTGCCATGACCCAGACACAGATAAGTTAAAGGGGGAAATGGACTTGACTGGAGACTGCTGTCTTTAACATCATTGCTAGTGCACCTGCTTCCCACATTAGATTTGCAGGTCTAATACTGCTTGGATTGTGCCATGTAGAACCAGAGGGGCCACATTAGTGCCATGACCTTGATAAAAGTGAGTTTTTTTGTTTTTTTTTCTGGGGAGGAATGAGTATAACAAAGGCAAACAAGCAAGTAAACTCTCACTCCCCTAGCTTCAAGATCTGTACTAAAAACAGATGCTGAATACAGCCATCTTTACAGTTATTTTATATTAGTTTGGCCACCTTCCATGCAGAAATAGTTGCTGCAATCACACTTTTAACATGTTGAGTAGTACTAGTAGTGCCGGGTGTCGTGACCCGGTTGAAAGTGCGGTTTGGTGTGCATGTGTGTGTAATGGACTTGAACACAAATTTGTCTTTAGTGTCCTTGTTAGTGCACCCGACTCCCATGTAAGAGTCACTGGTTCAAATTCTACATAGATCAGAATGTGTGTGTGTTTGTGTGTGTGTGTGTGTGTGTTGGGGATGAACCAAAAAGTTAGCATATGGCCAGTTAAGACTGTGATGAAGCCAGTACCTTCTGCCTGATATTGACACGGCTAGATATTTCAGTTGGCTGTACATCTGCGTATTTAAACATATGTAGCATAAGGCAAACGGGCAAAACATCTTTATGCTTGCTTATACTAACAGGATTACATTAAACGTTATATGACTAGTACATGACTTGGCAGTGAAGGGCTAAT